ATAAGAGGGAGACAAAGGGGTAATCATAGAGATAAAAGAGAAAAAGAGGTGGGGGGGGGGAGAGAGAGAGAGGGGGGGGGGGGTAAGAGGGATGGAGATGGGAGGCAAAGAGACAGCAGCCAGACAGAGAGGAGAGAGAAAGACAGAAAGGGGTAGAGGGAAACAGATAGATACTATTCTTCCAGGAAATTTCATGTGCCAAGAAATCAATCATATATTCTAAAACCACCATGGATGTTGTGACAGATAGGAAGAAGATTATCCTCCCACACCTTCTGTTATTCATCAGCAATCACCACTAATTTCATCAGCAAATGCATCGTTCATTATATTTATTCAGGAAGGAATAAATGCCAAGAGTTGGGCCCGCATGAAGAAGAGGGAGGAAATTGAATAAAAACAAAACAACATTGGTTAGGTTGGAATTTCGCACTGACACTGAAACATCTTTATGGTTAGCTGAAGTGAAAGAGATGGGGATAGGGAGGCGACATCTAGCAAATATTGGCTGTAAAATTGCCTGTTTTACATGTACGGTATTAAATAAGGCCAATAACCAAAGATTCCCTGTCTTTGGTATTACAGTTCTTTGCTGGTACCCTACTGGTAGCCTAGTTACATTCCTTATCTTGCCTTGATATAGGATTATACTTTTATTTTCCCTTTTAACTCTTTGTGTGCTTTCTTCGCCTCTCTACACGTCTGCTTGTTTGCCTTACTTACAATTTTGCACAAAACAATAGCCACCAGCTGATGGAGAGATGCTTCGTGCAACATAATTGCTGTTGAAAATTACTCATTTCCAGTCTTAATTAGTTTCAACTCTACTGTTGTAACACTGGTATACATTAATTTGCACTGGCAACAGTTAAATATCTTGAAGCCTTTGGTATATCTATCCCATGTTAAGTACAGTGCAGCACAGGGAGATTATTTGTGTGGCATTTAAAGAGTTAATCACTAGGAATATTTTGTCAGATAAATTAGACAAACCAACCAACCAACCAAATTGAGTGAGTGCTAGAAGAGATAAGCTCGCTCATGATTATTTATAATCCACCTAATCCATGTGGATTAAAGAACATCACTGATGGGCTTGGCTAATTAGACTAATGACGTTGTTGAGCTTGTATATCAACACCAATTAGTGCCTTTTCAAAATCATAATTTCTGTTTTAAAATCCAATATGTGTATCTTAGAGTGAAAATATAATAATAATACTCGGTTTTTATATAGCGCTTAATAGAATCATCAGCAATTCATGTAGCAGCAATTTATGTTGCACATGTATAACTCCCAGGGGGTGATCAATGCACCTACAAAGTACTTTTATTGACCTGGCTTTAGCCTACCTGCCCTATGTAATGGGCTAAAAGAATTCAATGAATATATTCCTACCATGTACCCATTTACTACACCTACATCTGTAGATGAATGTCTTGCCAAAGGACATAAGTGCTGTGGCATTGTTAGAGTATTGAATTATTTTGTACAGAATATTTCACAAAAACTAAAGTGTTCAAGTGATGAAATGGAAAAGAGGATTTAATTTCAGGATTTAATCCCAGCGCATTTCATTTGAAAGAATCCATGACAAATTTTGTCTGGCATGCCACCAATAGAGGAAATTTCCTGTCATGGAAACTTAACTTATTAAGGGAACTAAGTCTGCTTTGAAGCAAGTGTAGGATTTATTTTTCCCCTTATTTATTTTGGTCATGGTTATCTTGTCTTCTATTCTTTTGGCGTTTGATTCTTCTGTTTAGCATTTTTCTCTGTACCCTAATTTTCTGTTTGTGTATGCTTTGTATCTAAAGTTTTCTTTATTCAGTTCCGTTATAAAGTTTATTCCGTTTCTATGATTTACCTTCATAGGTTAAAGACAAACTCCCTGTCTTTGTTTGCTTATTTTCCATCCTGCCCTCTCTTAAAATTGTTTTTTATTTGCCTCATTCAATATGATATACCGTTTTCATGTTTAATGTAAAGGTTTTGCCTTGATTTGACTTGATTTTCTATGGACGCTAGCCTGAGTTATCTCAATCCTAGCATTTAAATGAGATACCCTTCATCCCCCTACACCCCCTGCCATCTCTATGTTATCGTTTCCTTCCCCTGATCCCCATGTTTCCAGTTGCATTTCTTCTTTATATTGTGAAAATGGAAATGAAGAGGAAAAGGTGACTTTGATATTGACATTGACTTTCAGCCCTTCTCAAGCCTCTAGTAATGTTCACATTGTGACTTTTATGTCAGAGTCTGTAGTCTCGAGAGCCGGCTGTAGTTGATCCTTAGGTGCATTCAAATAAGTTCCTAGAGCAGTTGGGGTAGGGGAGGGGGGACTTCAGGGAGCGAATTTAAATCACTGACAACAATTTTATCCTTGTTGCTAAAGTTGAAAATCACAGGATAAAATTATTTGTATGCACATTTTTACACCCAGCTTGTCTGCACAGTTATCCTATATAGAAATTAAACTTCAAGGTTGTACTGAATGAGAAGAAAATTCACAAGAATTTTCACTTTTTTAATCTTAATACATTAACTTTTAGGCTCGCACTTTGTATCCTAGGAACTTGTAATTCTGGAAATTTACGTTTTAAAACGTGGCTCTTGTATGAACATGGCTATGTAATTGCAGATTGTTATCAAGATGTTTGTTCATGGTCACTGTCTCGTAAAAAGAGAGCCAAGTATTCCTTAGCTGCATTTACACTGCAAGAAAAAACATCGATTTTTTTCACATTCCAATGTTTTGTTGGTATTTTTTTTTATGTCATTTTTTAAACGCTAGTCGCGTAAATGGCAGTGAAATAAAAAATCTCTTCTTTGCGATGGCACAAAGTGTAATGACAAGTCAAGATGCGCACTCCTCACCAAAAATAGGTATTAGGCAAGTGATTTTTAATGGGTTTTTTCCAGTAATGTAAAATCGTAGTCCTAAAAATCAATGATTTTTTAAAATCGTGTTTTGGATACATGTGTAAATGGGCCTCTTCATGACGGATCATGCTATCTATTCCTCTTGATCCTTCCCACGTGGAGGAAATCATCCAATGAAACCTAATAATCGTGGGGAGAGGGTGTGCTACGATGAACAAAGACGCCCCCTGCCCTTGACTTTGCTACTTAACCCTTCCTATGCTACCTTGTAAACACATAGATCAGTGACCCTTTTTGGTGATGTATAGGTGGTCTGAAACAGCTAGAATTTTATTATTTTATCTATTAGTTTTGGACTGATGAAAGCTTGTATTCTTCATAAACACCAGTACAGGTATTCAAAATGAGCTCCTAGATTTGAATCATAAAAAGCATTAGTACATGAGACTAGTGTAGCTTATTACAAATGTATCTTTCCTTGTAATTAATGGACATATCAATTTTAACAATTTTCTGATTAAACAAATCGTCCTTGTTTTCACGAAGTGACGCTAGCGAGGAAAATCGTAACGCAAAGTGAATGCAATTTTTTTTCACTACCGTCACTTCGTGAAAACAGCGACGAAATGACTGAGGCTGTACTTTTTAACTGCTTGTGTCTAGAGCTATGCATCTAACCCATGGACGTACATAAGGTAGTAGCTTTGTTTTGTTATTGTCAGCAGAGTACATGCTTCCTATTTGTTATTGATAGCAAAGTACATGCACCATTTGGACTTTTTTAATGTTGATTCATGTGAATGTTGAGGCCCTCAACATTCACATGAATCAACAACAAGAAAAGTCCATAATGCTTGAGGGAGCATTACCTTTGATACAAATCTGACATCATTGAATTCATGAGTTGTCCCTGAGTTATCAATAAAGAAAAAAGTATTTCTATCATATCGAAAGTTAATGTGATTTTTACAATTATGAAATTAACTCTGAGTGATAGAAGGTGATGTGAAAGTGCTTACCTCAATACCTACCTTACGCATTGTCTTCTCTCTGTCAAATTTTGTCGGCTGTGTTCCTCACTCTGCATCTATTAAGAGGAAAAAACTTTGCAAAATACAGAACATGGTTATATTCAATGAAATTGGAGGTAATATGCTCTATAAAAACTACATATTATGTAGTACATATTACATAGTACATTTTCCAAGTTACACAGTACCTATTACATATTACATTTACAAAATACAGAACATGGTTCCATTCAATAAACTTGCAGGTAACATTCACGATATTACACAGTACATATTTGTAGTACGTACATAAATGTACATATATGACATAGGCAGTAGGTCCTTAAATATATATAGAGTCATAAGTATACACAGATATTTACAATACAGCTTTACGATGCATAAATTATGCGTACTTTTTGGTTTCATATTACATGATAATGAAGGCATAAAACAAATTGTACCGTGAAACATACAGTATGGCAATAGCGATTGAAGACTACAATGATGTGGATAATTTACAAGACACCAATGTATACTGTTACTTTTATTAATCCAGATTATTATTATTATCATTATCTCTGTTTAGTCTTGTCCATCTTCCTAGCTTCCACAGCATTGTTAGTGTCCTCTTGAGTGGATTTGTTGAAACTGAATCATCTCCTCCTCGTATCCATCGACTTCTTCAACGGTTCATCCCAGAAACCATCAATGAAGATTGCAATGTAGTTTATGTTCCAAATGTTTGAAATTAGAAGCAAGATTCAACCAAGTGCGGTTATCCATCTTGTTCTTATCATCAACAGCCGTATCTGTATGTCTTCAGGAGTACATCGATGGTGACTGCATTGTAAATTGTTTTATTCCACATCTTCACTAGATGCAAACATTATCTGCAGCCAGCGTCTATCTATCCATCTCGTTCTTATCTTCCACAGCCCTATCAGAGTGTCTTCCAGAATTCATCAATGTATATTTATTCAGTTGTGTATAATAATAATAATACTCAGTTTTTTTATAGCGCTTATTAGAATCACTAATCTGTTAAGAAGCAAGACTATCTGCAACCGATTGCATTTAATCCATCTCGTTCTTATCTTCCACAGCCTTATCAGAGTGTCTTCCGGAATGCATCAATGGAGGCCAGTGCGCAGGAGGATACTGCATCTGTCAGCAAGGATACCAGGGAGCATTCTGTGAAATAGAAGGTAATCGAAGACCATATCAATCATCGATATCTGAGAAATAGTTACATTCAGTTTAAGTTTAGTTTATTTCATATTGCACATTGACATCGATTACATAAACCATGAGCACTAAACAATAAGATTGAAAAATAATTGTTTCAAAGTGTAAAAAATACATACAATAATATCAAGCCATGAAAGTAAAAATGCAGTCAAAATAACATACAAAGATATAAATACAATTGGATTATATTGAACCTGTAATTAGACAACTATATTTGGAGCGAAATATGAGGGAATCTAGTAAAAGGCTAAATCATGTAAAGTATAGATTCCCTTGCAGTCACAATATTGTTATGGTATACTGTTTTCTGTACATTACACCATACTTAAGTTTGTAGGTCACACATTGAGAAGAGAAAAAGCAATCAAGAAAAATTTGATTGAAAAATAATTTAGAGGAAGTATAGCAGTAGCTTAGCGAAGTGTAGCAGTACAAAAAGATCATTTTTTTACAGTAAATACTGTAAAAACAACAAGAACTTATTAAATAATGTGACATGGTCATTATGGACATTTCCTTGGAGCATCGACAAATTTTGTTGCAGAAACATATACGTATTGACCTACAAGTATGTGTACATTTAAAATCCAAGGTTATAATTTTCAAAGAGGAAATTGAGAGTAAAACTCAGCAAATTGCCAAATTTCCTGTTTAAATTAACTCAACTTCTGCAAATGTTGTAGTGTCAAATGTGTCCAAATTTTCCAACTGCAATGCTACATGTTTACCTGTATATTATAATTCATCTGGAAAGGTGTAGGTTATCATTGGAAATCCTTTATTACTGTATTTTATGCAGCGCTGCTGGTGGAAATAGATATTTAGCCAATGTATTAAGAAAGTTAAAAGTTAAAGCGAGCAATTAAGGTGCTAAATGGAATATATCTCAATGATGATGATGAAAGGGGTTCTGAGTGTTAAGTTATTGTTAAATCATGTTAACAGATACAATTCTGTAATATAAACCAGAATCGTACACTGGATGTGATAAAATTTGAATGGTCTCCTTCATTCTACATCATGTAACTTAATTCAAATTGTTATTACATTATTTAGTTCATGAGTATGGATGTAATATGTGGAAATTTGAAATTGATCCTCTTTAAGGTAGTTCATGCTTTCCTTTATTTTGTGCACACTTCCATACAAACTGATACATATATTGCATGTTCTGTATATCAAATATTGTTATTATGAACCAATAAGGATGCCTTATTTAAAGTTTAATAGATTATAGACTGTCTCGTATTCATGCATAATTTCTCACAAGGGAGTTTACACCACAAACCTCTATTTAAAGGGAAATAGACTCCCACTTCTGAATATTTAACTTAACTTATGGGATTTGTTTACATGATAAAGAAAAAAATAGCATTAAAAAAAAAATCTTCATCATTTGATATTTGTGGTAAACCATTGTGGGAGTAGGGTAGGGCTTCAATGCAAAGAGTGTGGTTTGTGATTCATTACAAATAGGAGATGGCCTAGACATAGCAACCAACTCTAAGAGAGGGAGAGAGAGAGAGGGTAGTGAGAGAGAGAGAGAGAGAGAGAGAGAGAGGGGGAGATTAAAGAAAAACAGAGGGGCAGTTGATAAAGGGGGGGGGGGGCAAATAAGGGATAAGGGAAATGATTGACGATTGCTGAAGAGTAAGGAAAAGATAAAGAAAGTTATTATTGTGGCAGAAATTGAGTCATAATGAATGACATGATCAGAAAAAACTGTGTTTGATATGATTAAAGGGATGGTTGAAAGAGGACAAGGGGTCGGGAGGGGGGAGGGGAGAAGAGAGAGAGAGAGAGGGTGGGGGAGAGAAAGAGAGAGGTCTATAGGAGTTATTGATACAGACTGTTCAGGGAGGGAGAGATTTAGCAAATATTGATAAGTCAAAATGAAGAAAAAACCCTAGGAGAGAGAGGGTGAGTGAGAGACTGACACATCAACTTTCAGAGGAAGCACAAAGAAGAACAGAGAGGGGGCAGGGGAAGGGCATCAGACATCTTCATTTAGGAAGGTCTGACCATGTGACTGTCTGACCACAGAAAACGTGCTGTTGATAATTTTTGAAAAAAATAGTATGTATGAATTTCTCCCAGCATGAGGCTCTAGCTAATGGATAATCCCATTAAGCCTGTCTCCTTCAATCTTCAATTAATTTCAATTACTTTTAAAAGTTTTTCGACTTACACTTAGTGTGTTCAATTTATCTTCAGAAGTGCCATAACAACTCAATGATATGAATGTGTTTGAAACAAAAAAGTGCTGACACTGTGAAATATATACTTGTTTCAATGACAAAACTGCTCTACAAGATTTAAGAGGGAACAAAAATGAGCCGAGAAGAAGATTGTCTTAAGATGTTTTAACTCGCCTTTGAGACTAAATCGATTTCCACATTCCCGCAGGTTTTAAAAAAGTTATTTGTAGTGAACTTTTAGTAACCCCACATACAGTTATGTTGGTGTGCCCTATTTACACAGCTGGGGTCTAAATTATGATTTGACCTTTCACTGCCATGCATAGTTTGAAAGATCCAATTTTTATTTTTCCAAGAATAATGCATAAAGCTGTCTTGATTTAACATGTTTTCATGAATATTGAAACATCTTGAAACAGTTTATTGGGAAATGTTATAAAAAATAGTTAAAGATGTGAGGTTAAATATGGCACATTCTCAAGAAACATAAATCAGGACAAATCAAAATTTCACTAATTTAAAAAACTTACACAACTTGAATATTTTAGTCGTATTTTTATAGATCCCAGCCTAGGTTGGCTTAGGATTAGTATACAATGTTCTTTATAGCAAGAAACACACTCTACATGTATTTTCTCATAATTTTCATGTAAAATGCAGTTTTGAGAATTAAAATCCTCAAGATTGTTACATATTGAAAGTCTATTATGGCCTTGATGGGGTTAATTACTATTTGGCACCCCTCATGATTAATAATGACATGATTGTGCTTTCACTAGACCTGAGAGTGTGTGAATGATTAGCGGCTTAGGCTAGTACTTCTCATGTTTGTCCACACACGATGCAATTTTCCACAGCATTTGTTTGACGTGTAAATTAATGGCATGTGGGGATGACAACAAATAAGCTGCATGCAGCAATCATGAAGCAGTGTTTTTTTTAAAGAAACAGAAGTGTAACAATAGAAATAATTTGTGTACAGTAGGAATGTACAAAATCAAACTCAATATTCTTTTAAAATCAAACTTTTTATGGGCTAAATGATAAGGAGTATGAAGAAAATAATTGGACTTGGGTTCCAATTGCTAGCTCTATTTTATGCGAGGCTGTTAAGGTGCATCAAGTACTCCGCTCACAAGTCGCTTTTGTGTGAACCCATTGCCTACTGGAACCACATGTTCTCTATATTAAAGGTAAAGACCAGTATTGGAAACGCCCCAATTTCAAAAAATGAAATGGAAGCTCTCATTACCAATCATGTGAAAGAATATGTTTTGACTAATACATGATGATAAAAAATTTGCCGGGAAACCGCCTACTAATTCATATATTTGGTAAATTTGTTTCTCTCATGGTCTGTGAGAGATATAGGGTAGTCCCATATACATCTTTCTGTGTATAGTGCTTGTAACTTTACGAAGAAAGGGCCAAATTTCTTATCATTTTGATGATTCCAGAACCTTGCAGATGCTAGATGCTAGATGATCAACCTTTTCTGATCGATTCCACAACATTTCTTTCACAATGCAATCGCATGACCATAACTGGTCTTTACCTTTAACATAAGTAATATTTGAAGCTCATATTTGAAACATAGTATAATGACATGAAACTACTAACATACAATACAAAACATTACTGGTAATTGGTGCACCTTTAACCCATTCCACTTTAACATGTGTTTGTTAAAATAAACTGCTGAAATCTACTTGTTATATGTGAGTGAGCCTTTATTGGTAATTAGAAGCTTACATAATTTTGAGTAGTCATGTCCTGAGGTTCAGACAAGGATAAAGTCATAATCCTGACTTGTTAATTAGCTCATTCCTGATCGTATTGATTGCGGTTGATGTCTGCTCTGCCGGGGGAATATATAACCTCAGCATGAACTGGCCAGGTGAACCTTAGTTTTGAGATATGGGGAGTGTTTCACAAAGACTGAGATCAACTTGAAGTTGGACTGAACTATGGCAGGCTGTTCATGCCACTGTTTTCTCTCAGCATGTACTGGCCTCGGTCTCTCAAGGGACCATGATCACAAATCTTCTCAAGGGACCATGATCACAAATCTATAGAATTTACATTTGTTGATAGTTCATTATTGAAGGAAAAATGTATTATCTAAAGATCATAATGGTGAGAGCAACCAGTGGCATGAATGGCCTGCCATAGTTATGTCCAACTTAAAGTCGATCTTAGTCTTTGCGAAACATTCCCCAGGTTTATATACTATTTGCATTTTATCGGTTTCGGTCACCTAGTTGGATGGAAATGTCCCCATATTCAGACAATTACCCTTTACAGTACAACATCATTTTTATGCCTCCGTTACGAAGTAGCCGGAGGCATTATGTTTTCGGGTTGTCCGTCCGTCCGTCCGTACGTCCGTACGTCCGTACGTCCGTCCGTCCGTCCGTACGTCCCGTTCTCGTGATCGCGTTATCTGAAGAACCGATTGATGGATTCCTGCCAAACTTTGGTCATGTATGTATCTTGCAGAGCCGATGAACTGATTAGATTTGGGGGTCACGAGGTCAAAGGTCAAAGGTCACAGGGCTCATTATGTATGCAAAAACAGCTCGTGATCGCGTTATCTGAAGAACCGATTGATGGATTCCTGCCAAACTTTGGTCATGTATGTATCTTGCAGAGCCGATGAACTGATTAGATTTTGGGGTCACGAGGTCAAAGGTCAAAGGTCACAGGGCTCATTATGTATGCAAAAACAGCTTGTGATCGCGTTATCTCAAGAACCGATTGATGGATTCCTGCCAAACTTAGGTCATGTATGTTACTTGCAGAGCCGATGAACTGATTAGATTTTGGGGTCATGAGGTCAAGGTCAAAGGTCATGCGGCTCATTATGTATGCAAAAATAGCTTGTGATCGCATTATCATTAGAACAGATTGATGGATTCCTGCCAAACTTAGATCATGTATGTATCTTGCAGAGCCAATGAACTGAGTAGATTCTTGGGTCATGAGGTCAAAGGTCAAAGGTCATGGGCTCATTATGTATGCAAAAATAGCTTGTGAACGCATTCTCATTAGAACTGACAGATGGATTACTATTTAACTCGGGACATCTTGCGGAGCCAATGAACTGAGTAGATGTTAGGGTCATGAGGTCAAAGATCAAAGGGTCATATATGTATATGAGAAATTGCTTGTAATCACGATATTCTGAGAACCTGTTAATGGATTACAATTGAACTTGAATTTGAAAAATTTCTTCTGTTTGTAAATTGCTCTATGACGGAGGCATCATTTCGACTGCGCGCAGTCGAAGTTCCATCTAGTTAAGGATAATATGACGTTTAAGGAGAATAAGTACTGGTCATTGAGAATGAAACTATCTGGAAGCAAGGTAAACACTTTGCTAATGTAGTCCATCAATTTGATGTGTACTTATGAGGTTTTGGGATGAGTATTTGTAGAGAAATTCTTTATGGTGGCATTTGCACTATGATGTATTTTCAAGCTGACATAAAAAATAATGACAGAACTCACAATTTTTTCTTCAAATGGACCAGAACTTACCCTTCTGTTAAAGATTACAGGCCCATATTTTCCTGTACTTCTCCATATAAAGCAGCAGAAGTTTTGTTGTTATTGCTTTTTAAAATTTGATCTCACTTTCAAACCAAAGAAAAACAATTTTTCATAATAATAATTCTTGGAGGGGCAGTTAACATACTTAGGTTATGTTAATTTTTTGTAGATAAAAATATATTCATAATAAACTGGCATTTCTATGAAACATTTTATCTTTCTATTACTCCTTCCCAACAAAGCGATCCTTAAAAAAAGAAATATAGTGCCACTAAAACATGCTTTTCATAAAAAAATTCTCAGAACTTGTTTATAATTAACATTTTATTATGCATGGAAGCAACATTACTCACCTCTATGATGAAGTCATTCAGCTGATGGATTGATATGCTGGTGGAAACAGTTTTTCACACATTTTATTCTTGTTAAAGACATATAGCCGGTTGTCCACTTCAGATAAATCAGTGTATTCAAAACTGGTATAAGAGATGTTTTTCAAGCACAGAAACTTTGTTCAAATGTCAGTCAAAAATGTAGTGTTAATTAGAGTCTAAGCATTGCTGTTGAATGTTTAGATTGCCTCCTCTGAGAACAGGCTGTGTCAAACCTGAAGAAAATATGCATGAAATGAAATTTAGTTGTCCTCCACTTTGAGATATAAATTTTAAAAATGAGCCCGGTGATACATTCAGGATATTGTTCAATAACACTTGACAGCGTCTCACAATGATTTCTTATACATCCACTCTCTCCGTTGTAAAACATTGAAGAGTTCAGTCCATAATAATCTGTGAAAGCCCACACAAAAGTTCAAGTGAAGTCACTTTTTATCGTTGCTAATACAGGAAAAGAACGGTTTTTCTCTTTTAGATCAATTTGCGAAAATGCTGAAGACAAATTTGCATGAAATCAACTTTGGTCCTCCTCCGCCATTCCAAGATATTAATTAAACACACACATTATGATATCCTACAGTACTTTCTTGTAAGAGTACATAATTTTCCTTTTTGGAAGGTATTAAGAGTAAGAAGAGCTCAGGCAGAGTTGGTTTTTTATCATTGCTAATACAGTATATGTATTGCTTTACTCTTTGAGGTGAAGCTGTTAAAAACCTGAAGAAGAATATGTGTGAAATCGACCTCAACATTCCTTTATTCTTAGATACTAATGAAGTAGATATCATTGGTTCTCCAAATAAAGTTCCTCATCCAGCCTTTTCTTTGTACACTGTAGAGTGGAGTTGTTCCCACGATACAAGAGTTCATATGGAGTGGCTTTCTATCGTTGCTAATACTGGATATGAATTGCTTTCCTCTTTTAGGTGAAACTGTGAAAAACCTGAAGAAGAATATGTGTGAAATTAACCTCGGCATTCCTCCATTCCCAGATACTAATGAAGTACAGATATCATTGCTTCTCAAAAAAAAGTTCCTGTAAATCCAGTCTTTTCTTTCTACACTGTAGAGTAGAGTTGATCCAATGATACAAGAGTTCATACGAAGTCGCTTTCTATGAAATGCTTTCCTCTTTTAGGTGAACCTGTAAAAAACCTGAAGAATCATAAGTGTGAAATCAACCTCGACATTTGTCCATTCCCAGATACTAATGAAGTACAGATATCATTGCTTCTCAAAAAAGGGTTGCTGTACATCCATTCTTTTCTTCTACACTGTAAAGTAGAGTTGATCCTAGAGTTCATGTGGAGTGGCTTTCTATCGTTGCTAATACAGGATATGTATTGCTTTCCTCTTTTAGGTGAAACTGAAAAACCTGAAGAAGAATATGTGTGAAATTAACCTAGACATTCCTCCATTCTCAGATACTAATGAAGTACAGATATATCATTGCTTCTCAAAAAGAAAAATCCTTTAAATCCAGTCTTTTTTTTCTTCACTATAGAGTAGAGTTGATCCGATGATACAAGAGTTCATACAGAGTCGCTTTCTATCGTTGCTAATACAGGATATGAATTGTTTTCCTCCCTATAGATACGTGCGAGCCAGGCTGCCTGAACGGAGGGACGTGCGACCGAGGACTGTGTATATGTCCTGCTGGAATCGGCGGTGTGTTCTGTCAGCTCAGACTAGGTGAGTCTCGGGGGATAGTGGGTGGGTAGTGGGTCGGGGTGGAGTGTAAGGAAGAAAGAGTGAGAGGTAGGGAAGGATCAAGAGTGGAGGGGCGGGGAGAGAAGGAAGGTTTGGGAGAGGAGTAGGGAGGGAGAGAGAGAGAGAGAGAGACGGAAGGATTTACAAAGGAGAGAAGGATCAAGAGAGAGAGAGAGAGAGAGAGAGCGAAGGATCAAGAAAGGAGAGATGTAGAGAGAGGGAAGGATTTAGAAAGGAGGGATGGAGAAAGAGGGAAGGATTGAGAGAGAATGGAGGGATGGAGAAAGAGGGAAGGATTGAGAGAGGAGGGAAGGAGAGAGAGAGGGGAAAGGAAAGAGAGAGAGAAAAGGATTGAGAGAGGAGGGAAGGAGAGAGAGAGAGGGGAAAGGAAAGAGAGAGAGAAAAGGATTGAGAGAGGAGTGATGGAGAAAGAGGGAAGAATCGAGAGAAGGGGAGGGAGAAAGAGAGGAGGGAGGGAGAGGGAAGGAATGATTGAGAAAGGAGGGAAGGGTCAAGAGAGAGAGAGGGAAGGAAAGAGAGGGAAGGATTGAGAGAGGACGGAGGAAGACAGATTTGAATTGAATGAGTGAGAGAGACAGAGAGAGAAAGAACGAGAGTGTGAGAGAGAGGGAGAGAGAGATCAAGCATTGAAGAGGGCAAGATAAATAAATAGTGTGAGTGATAGTGAGAATGTACTTGTATTACACTAGATTGTAGAGATAAAGAAACAAATATGCATTTTTGTAGAAAACCATACAAAAATGTAACTTCCTAAAAATATAGCTGAAATGACAAGAATAGGTACATGAAAACAACTTGTCAAGGGAGGAGATGGAGAAATAGAGAGTCAAAAAGAGATAGAAAGAGAGAGAGAGAGAGGAAGGAGGCTGTTTGGAGGCTTGGATACATGGAATTTAAAAGCATACAGATAAAGAGAATATAACAAAATAGTTATGAATGTAACTGATCTCTAATGAAAATATATAAAATGTTATGATGATTAAGAGACTGAAGAGAGGCATGTTTATAGAATAATAATGAAAACTTAGACACATATATATATACCCTCAAAGTAGACATATCTAAAGTGGATATTTTGTTCAGTACACTCTCTGTGTGTATCCTGGTTACAAGCATACACCTATGACAAATCTCTCTGTGCGAAGGTGATTGATTCTATTGTGTGTAAGGTCCATCTTATAGCTGTGTGTGCATGTGCACACAGACATTCTTTTCTGATTGGTTGTAGGACCAAAAAGTTTTGTCCTGCACACAACAGTGATTGGCTACTGAACATAGCTGATCTTGCTGAATGCTGATTGGTTAGTTCTGCTGCATAGTACAGTGTATGTTGGTTGTGTGTGTTTGCTTGTGTATCCTATCAGCTGTGTAGGCCTAGGGTCTATGTTGATTTAGTATTAGTAGGGTTATTGATTTTTGTCTGACCATCAAACTGTAAATGTGAATGAGGCCAAGTGGCTAAGATACCACTTTAAACTTGGCTTCAACAGTTTTTAGAGTTAAATATTGTTTTTGTTAATTCTCGCTAGTGTTTGAAGTGTGTTTTTATTGCAGGATGTGAAGTGCAGTCTGTGGGAGGTTGATTATGTCAACTCTAATATGAAATGATTTATTTTCAATCATGCACACACAAAAATGGTAGAATGAACATCAAGAAGAAGAAGAGAAATTACCAAGAAAATTTAGGGGAAGGAAGCGAAAAGAAGGAGTAGGAGAAATGAGAAGAATAGGTTTAAATGGATGAGAAAAGGAAGACAGAAATGTTTTGACAAGATTCAAGAATATTATGGAGAAGATTAACAACAAGAAAAATTGGAAAATATAAGAAGAAAATAGTAAAGAAGAAGGAAAAAAGACAACCTATTTGTTTTACTGGAACTAGATGGCTCCTGTATTGGACAAATACAAAGATACATTAACCCATTTCCTGTGGGTTCTGGGTTTTCCCTGGATTAAGCCTATAGCAAATCATAATTCAGTAGTCAATGGCTTGCATTGTCAATTTTCAATGTAGATTGCAAGTTATGCTCTTTCCTATTTTTTTTCTTCTATTTTACAAAGCGTCTCTAACTAGCTTACTATGAAATGTGGAATGAAGATATAATTATTTTGGATCTTTACCAGACATGATGTTAGGATTAATTTCCTCTGTTTTAGACAATGTAGAGCCAGTGTGGGTGGACTGTGTCACAAGCAATATAGAGGTCCGAGTCGTGATGAGGGATGGAGGAGTATTATAAAGGAGGAGAGAGAGGAGAGGAGAGGAGATACAGAAAGAGGAGAGAGAGAGAGCGATTAATTTCCTCTGTTTTAGACAAGGTAGAGCCAGTGTGGGTGGACTGTGTCAGAAGCAATATAGAGGTCCTAGTCGTGATGAGGGATGGAGGAGTATTATAAAGGAGAAGAGAGGGATGTCAAGTGCAAGTGAGAGGAAACAGGAAAGAGAGTGAGAAAGAGGGAGAGTAGGGAGGGAGAGGGAGGAAGAGAAGGAGAGGACAGAGTGCAAGAGACAGAGAGGAGGAGAGGTGATACAGAAAGAGGAGAGTGGGAGTGGGGAGAACAGAGAGGAGAGACAGGAGGAGTCAGAGGAAAAAGGAGAGCAAAGACTGAATGAGGACAGGGGGAGATGGGAGAACAGAGAGGAGAGACAAGATATTACTTTTAGATCAGATAGAGGGGAGAGAGAGAGAGAAAGGAAAGGAAAAAGTGGGAAAGAGATAGAGAGAGAGAGAAAGAGAAGAGGGTAAGAGACACAATTGAGACTTTTAGATAAGAGAGAAGCGAAGGAGAGAGAGAGAGAAAAAAAAGAGAGTGACACTGACAGTGGGAGATATACTTGTACAAGATGGGAAAGGAAATGCATTCTAGTAAAACTTATCATAGATCCCCGCACATCTGAAAGTCAGAAACATTGTAGTGAGACAGTAAGGTATATGTTAAGTGTTACATTTCATAGCACTTCCACTTAGAATCCTGTACGGAGGACTAACACCCCCTAACTCCCTCCCTGCTGTACTAGAGATATGATGCTCCATCTTTATGATTATCTGCTATCAATCATGATGTATGGTGCAGTCCCTCAAACCAGCTGTTCAAGATTGTAGCTGTAATGATAATAGATATTAGCTGCATTTTTACAGTAACCAAATATTATCAATTTAATTAGTCTCACACTCCGGTGTTTCCTAGGTAGTTTATAAGGTGATAAGATTACACAAACAATTTAAAGCTAACCCTATAGGAAGTTTGTAAAACATGGAAAAGAATAGCCAATCTAACCGAATGAGCACCAGTCTTTTTCAGCCTATTTTACAGTCTTGTTTTCTTTTTTAAGCACCACCATGATCTGAGATTTTTACATTCTTGACATTGATATTTTTGGCAAGTAGGTATTATTTTGTGTTTGTTTCTATATTAAATGGAAGGAAAGAAATGAAGTGTTTGTGAGGGTTGAAATCTCTGGTTTACACAATCCGTTTGAAAATGTTCTTACCTTTTTGTTTGGTGATGATTCACTCAATTCAAATTCTAAGCATCATGGAATTCATCGTTTTAGCAGGTGTTTCAGTTTGTACTATCTCCAAATCATATTACCTTTTAACCACAAAACTGAAGAAAAAGATTTGGAAATGTTTGTAAAATTCCTGTTTGACATGAGTAATCCAAGGGTATGTCAAAATAGCAAAGAGTTTAGACTTGAGCAGATGAGTCATGAAATATAGTTATTGCATCTATCAACTTCAAATTAAGCTTTCTTCATGTCGTGCATCAGCTTATAACGAAAGTTTAATGTTTCATAAGCTGTGTTCACATGGCACGGTTTAAGTTTTGAACTTAAGATGAAGTTGAGTTCTGGTCATGCTATTGCATTGTGAAAGAAACGGTGTGGAACCGACCAGAAAAGGTTGATCATCTATAAGAATTTGTGTGTATTGCAACGTTCTGGAATCATCAAAATGATAAGAAATTTGGCCAAGTCTTGGTAAAGATACAAACACTTGCACAGACAGATGTATATGGGACTACACGAACATGTGGCGTAAAAAGCCGGCCCCCCGATTTTTACGATGTTACATGCATATTTAGAATATGAAGGCATTTGAAGAGCCATGCTTTTCAGGGAACATGTCTTAACTGATGTTCTTCCACACTTGCATAATAAGAATGAGTAATGCTCACAAATTATTTTTCACCTCTTCCCAGAACTCAACCTTCTCTTTAAGTGTGTGAAACTTCAAACATTTTAAAGCCCTACTGTACTACTTGTAGCTACTTGCTCCTTCTATATAGAAAACAATGCATAATCGGTGACCATTGGTCCCCCATGATACTCTTTTTCTTATGTTAATTGTGATCTGAGTTGATAGCCACCTGTCAGTGACCACCATGGGTGGTCTAATTCCTCCTAGCCAAATAAGTACAGACGGCCTTTAAGCAATGACACATGTTCTCCAGGCCAAGCTGATGATTACTTGGAGTTTGAAACTGCATGGGGGCAAGTAGTCATTGTAAATACCAGTTGGAAACACCTCAGAAGTTAAATTTGTTTGCATGCAACATAACTTTGATTGAGGACCTGCTTGTAGTTTTCTTATTAACTAAAATCACTCATGATGTAAAAGCTTTGAGTGGAATACAAGTTTCCAAAGCCATGAATGCATCCTGATCCACATGTAATATAAGATAATCTTGAAGTTTTACACCACTAACTAAACTTGAAGTCACTGGACTGTCTTGTGAACCTAGCCATCGAAAAATCAGATTAGTTGAACTCATCAGGATAAACAGATGACTGTGTAGTTTGCCCATAAGATTTGTTTGTACCTGAAAGATACAGTTAAAGGCTGTTCTGATTTCTGGAACGAAAACAATTAGTATTACACACAAAAAAGCAATATTGCAACAACTTGTAATCCTTCAAGTGACTGAATCTCTTAAAAAGGGATTCAATCTTTTAAGATATAAGTTAGTTCTTTTGCTTTTTGGAATAAAGCGCATATAGATAGCAACATATTGTGCCCTATATAAGCCTGACTTTATTATTATTGTTATTAAAATCCAGCATTATTACTGGAACATGAGATTACCTGTAAAGCCTGTCTGCACTAGTTTGGCAAGGGGGATTAGACCTCCCTGCAAGGTCACTGACAGGTGGTTATCAAATCAAATCAGCTATCAATTAACAAAAGAAAAAGGGAATCATGGAGGACCAACGTGCACCGATTAAGTATTATTTGCTTTATCGAGGGCGAAAGTAGCTTAAAGTAGTGCAGTGGGGCTTTAAAAAAGGGATTCAATCTCTTAAGATAAAGTTAGTTCTTTTGATATTTGTAAAGCAAAATATTATATGCTATATAAGCCTGACATTATTATTATATTATTAAAATGCAGCATCATTACAGAAAAATGAGATTACCTTTAAGTTGTTTGTGTGCATGTGTGATGAAGTTAAGAGGGTCCTGTGAGAGACTTCTTCCAGACAAGAACTGAAACAAAGTGTGCTGATTCATTGATGAGCTTCAGTGAGAGGTGTCCATCAAACTCAATTTGAGTACTGAGTCTGATTGGTAGTTGTGATTTTGATACAGGAGTGATTCAAAGCTAATATGGTCAGTACACATGGTACTGCTTACTCAAGTTGGAATTTGCTTCACATTGCTCAATAATGTTTAGATTAAGCACATTATATTCCACATACTAAGAATCTTGCTCTACGATTGGTCAAAAGTTAATCACGTGATGAAACATAGTTTTGCCCATTATTGATTGGAGAAGAGCAGTTTGTTACAATGTGTACTATCTTGGGTGCACTGTGTACTATCTTCGATGAAAGTGTGTTGCACTGTGAACTATTTTCAACACATAATATATTACCTAGTACGCTAGTATAGAGACAAGAAGTTGTTGAAAAAAGAAACTATAAGCCCAACTCTTCCCATTCTAATAAGTCATGTTCATGTTGCTGCTGTGAGTCAAAGAGGTGTGAACTCTGTGTTACATTTAATTAACACCTTTTTTGCAGGTGACAAACATGTCTGATGCCATTGCTATTACCATATCCTTATCTTTATAATTCTTTGTAACTGATAAATTAATATGTTATTGTTCCAAATATAATTTGTTGTTTATCAGTATTATGTAAAAGCGCCTAATAAGAAACATTTATTATTATTATGCTCTTACATGTTTTTCCTTATCAGAAAATATACACAGTATGCAAATAACCTGAGTACATGTAAAAAGCCAATGTTTATTACTGAACATGTTAGGAACATAGATTATTTTAAACAAATGATGTTTTTGCGTCTTGTATGTGCCAATGCCGTAAAATAACCTGAACACATCAGTAGCTCACATACCAAAGGGCTAGTAATTTGAACAGAATTTATAATCATTTGCTTTTTGTGTTTTTGAAAGAAGTCCATTGATTTCCTTCTTCATTCTGTTTTTTTTCTCTTCAGAACGTCAATGTCGTGTTCCCTGTCAGAACAATGCTCGTTGTATGAATGGAATTTGTTTGTGTCAGCCAGGGTTTGATGGTCTAGCCTGTCAGTTCAGAAGTAAGTCATTTCACCCTTTCTCACTTTTATTTGTGTCACGTTATTTCTCTCTTGATGAATTTATTTTGTATCATATTGCTATTCACAATGAAATCAAATATTGATACCCCCTTGCATGCTTTATGCATTTATTTCGGTGCAAGTCAATTATAAAGGACATTAGTATTAATATCATATAACTTGAGATGTATCTGTTGGTAGTTCTGACAGAGTGGATGAGAAGTTCGGTTGTAGATAAACTTTTTAATTTTAATAGACCAAGGATCTGTCTAACAATGAGTTGTTATTAATCCAGATTGAACGCAACACCTCCATGCAGTCAAAAACGTACACAAATATGAAGCTGCAATCGACCTAGGCTCTTTATAGGATATGCACAAGAATGAATTTGATCGAAATTTGATTTGATTCTTTGGTTGTCAGTTAAAATGTTGGCAGGAATGAATGAGATAGTAAGAGTTTCTTTTTTGCTCTAGATGTCTGATGTGGTTAATAATAGTAATATTGACTGCCTAATTTAGGGCAATACAACTTGTCATATATCACCCTCACCTTTTGTTCGGGCGATTATGTCGTTTTGCCCTGAAGGCAGTCAATATTACTTAATTATTTTATATTTGCATGTTTTTGAAAACTGGAATGTGGAAAAATGAAATGAAATGACAGAATACGTGATTGATTTGATCTTTGAATGATATTCTTTCAGAGCGTGATTGTCCAGAGCTGTGCCAGCATGGAGGGACATGTATCAATGGAACATGCTACTGTTTAGCTGGATATCTGGGAGAATTCTGTGAGATTAGACGTAAGTGTTAGTCGGATAAATTTGACACTAATGATTTTATGAGTCTAGTAGGCTGTTCAGACTAAAAACGTCATATAAAGAATCAATGTATCGCAAAAGGAATATATGACCATATGATTTTATTATCAAGGGAAAATTGATGAGAAATAACATTTATATTGAAACTAAATTAATATTGATTATGAGATGTCTAAACCAAGAAATGTAAGCCATAGGTAAAGTTGTTTTCTTCAATATGCAGGCAAAAACTATTAACACAATCTCCATTACACTATGTAGATGACATTGAATGTGATAAATTTGTATCTGTATTGTGTCCCTCCATGTAGCTGTTGAATGCATCCCTAGCTGTATCAATGGAGGGTTCTGTAACAGTGGAGTGTGTATCTGCCCAGATGGTTACACAGGGCCGTCTTGTGAAGTAGCAGGTATGGTATCCTTACATTTTGTCTGTCTTAGTGCCTATACCATAACCATCATCTTAGGAGATGTCGGTTGCTATAAATTGTCCATCAACAAATTTGTCAACAAATAGGCCTTATGTTATCTTTGAGGGGAAGTCCACTCTGATATTATAAGAATAAGAAAGTAATTATGAGGAATTTTGTTTTCTTATTCTGACATGATGTGACTTTAAGTAATGCTATGCTTTACTGTTAAACTTTGATGACAAAATTCTCCAAATTGTGTGTGGGCCCAATCGGATTGAATCAAGTGTTTGGCAAAAAGTGGAAATTGATTTGTCATTCTGTATCAATTCGTGAGGCTGAAGAGGGGTACTATTCTTGGCAAGCTTTGTCAGGATGTCATTTTACTCCTCTTCGTGGATATTCTTCCAGACCCCTACTTCCCCTATCAACTCACCCAGTTTGCAGTCTCCTATTCCTTATGTTCATAGTTGCGAATGATATCAATCTAAAAAAAAGTGTTATTGATATCAACTCTCTATAAGACGGGCGAACAAAAAGTGGAGTGCATGTCACAGTGGTTGTTTTTGTTCCATCTTTAAATTCACATCCAGTTGGTGCTCTTGAACCAGGATTGAACCTGACATTGTTCAGTAAGATCTAAGAATGAAGTGGAATCTTCATAGATATATGCATCTACCATGCATCTACATTAATTACATGCATGTACATGTATGAACATGGATACACTACATGTAGATGAATGCTAATAACCTATAGCAGTTCAGATTTTTCTACAGGTGGAAATGAATGAACTATTCCTCCGCAAATTTTATTTTTATTTTCCACTCATAGCTTAATGTTTTTTTAAAGTTAAACAAGACATTGCCAATTTGTACACTCAAAATAGAGATTACACATTTTCTGCATTGCCAATGTATAGACTTCAATGATCATTTTCAATAAAAACACTCTCATTCACGAACGGCACAATGCACTCCAACAGAAATGAGCTCAAATAAACAAAAATGTCACTAAAAAAACTGCTATTAGTGCATCATTCTTCTTTCATTAATAATGATGCAAAGTGGATCATCATGAACAATTTGTGCATTTTTGTTGCAAAGGAAAATGGATAAAAATCCATTAAGCCAGCATATCCAGAAAATAGCATACTATACTAGGCTGGCTTTGAATAGCATCAGATTAGATGTGATTACATGTTTTTGTAGATCAGAGCTTCCATTCTTCTTCAATATCAACTCATTGCTATTTATACCTTCTCTGGAATCCAGCGTAGTAGTATAAATATGCATGGTATGCATGTTACATAGCTGCCAACCAATCCTTTTTTCTTTCTTTGTCATTTGTCATTGGAAAAGGGCTTTGTGAAAAGGGTCCCTGTATAACAGTTTGTGAATTTAACTGTATTCCTTAAAATTATCAATTTTTGATGTGGAAGGTTGGCAGGTATGATATGACATGCTTGGCTTCTGAGCTTCATGTAGTGAGCAGAGTTGAATCTTGGCTGGTTCAAACTCAAAAGATGATTACTCAATGAAAGCATGCTTTACTTCTTCTTGGTGAAATACCCATTTACTTCCAGAGGCTGCTCCAAATGTATGCCCAGTTTTTAAAAATTATGTCAGTAATTTAAAGAAAAGAACGAAATTGTCTTACATTCCAAGTTGCCATGACCAATAGAAACAAAAATGGGCAAAGAAATGCACAAAAAAGTAAGATCTGAAGAATTGTATGTTTTGTTTTAAGGGTATGCAGTTTGTGGATATTAATTTCATAATCAATTTATATTTGAAATACAAGCAGTTTTTCACATTTTTAAAGTCTGTATCGAATGGCAAGAGAAAATATTTAAGTTATACTAAACATAACTGAGCAAAAGAATTGCCCCTGTAGATGCCCATAAATACACTCTATGCTTGTCTTTTTTAAAACATGTAAAGAAATAGGGATGGCACAATAGAATTGATATATTGTTTCCTGGCAAATGTTGAAACGGTTAGTGATTTTGTGCCTCATGTTTAATGGGCCTTCAATCCCCATTCACGTAAGTTGCAGTCAACCATCATGCTTTTTCACCATGTCATAATGAAATGAGACAAGCAAAACATGTTTTCCATTTCTGGGTCATATCACCCACTGATATGTGAATATGCGTATAATCATTGTTGTGCCCAATTAACTGCTTCACCTGCCTTTCTTCTAGATGTTAAAAAATAAAAACTTTTGGGCGTACTGTCTAATATATGAACCAGCCTTTAGTAATAGGATACATTGTCTTTATGTCCTTTGGCAAGACTTTAATCTACATTTGCCACTCTCCACCCAGGTGTTAAATGGGTACCGGTAGGAAATAATTCCTTGAATGCTGTGAGCAGCGAAATCAATAGCCTAGCGTAGCCGGGGTAATATTGGAGCACCTTGAGCACCTTTTAGGGTGGCTAAATAATTATCATTATTATTATTATTATTATTATCATTATTTATCTTTGGTCCCAACTCAGTTGGATCCCAGCCCCAGATCGTGGTCACCCCGTTCCAAGCCCAGGTCCTAGCCTTAGGAGAGGACACAACCATATCATGTAATGTGAGAAGCAGAGATGTGGATGAATCACCTCGGTGGTTCACCCCCAACGGCACTCTCATTAATACTCTTGAAAATGGTAAGTACAGTCTACGGTCTGTTTGGGGACAGAAGGGCGGTAACTCAAGATTCAATGTTCCAGTGTTTTGTCAATGTAATACAACAATTTGTTTTCCATTGTTGTTACATATCATGGAATATAAACATTGACACCCCAATGGCACTCTCATTACCCTTGTAAATGGTAAGTACAGATTGTCTGTTTGGAGACAGAAGGGCGTTAACTCAAGACTCAATGTTCAAGTGTTTTGTCCATATAATACTTAATTTTGTTTTCCATTGATGTTACAAAACATGGAAAATAAACATATGCAACATATGGCATTATGTGCTGAGGACCAGAAGGGCGTTATAACACAGAGTAAGACCATGCATATACCGGTAACGCCTTTTTGGCTCTCAGTAGCTTGTTACAAATGAAACTTTAAAGTCACAACATGAATGCATTTATGAATACATAAATATGATAACTCTTTGAATATATATAAAACTAATAATTCAATTTGGAAAATCCTCTTTGACGGTATACAATTAACGATTAAAACTTTGAGAAAATTGCGAATGATGTACATGATCATATCAGTTTGACTCCGAATAGTAGTAAACATATGAGGAGTAAAATTAATATTCAGAGTGAAAATTAATTAATGTTCACACTACTTAATTTTGTGATCAATAAAATGGAGTAAAACATGAATCTAAGGAAAGACATGTTATTGTGTACTTCTCTTGTACATATTTTGTCTTAAAGGACTTGATTGAAGAGATGTGTGCTTTTGAAAGCATTGTCCAGCAAGAGTTACACAACAATACATGCAGGATTAAGATAACATATTTCATTTAAATCTCCTTCTTGCATGCCGCTGTAAACCCTAATCCCTATCTATCTTTCCTGTAGGGGGTACTGCTCACAAGCATGTCAGAGTGATTGACGATCAGAACATCGAGCTGGTGATCAACGACTTCCAAGTACAGGACGTTGGAAATTATTCTTGTACAGCTGGGCCGCTGTCTAGAACCATTGCCTTGATGATACTCCGTAAGATATTTTAAAAAAAAGATAAAAATATTTCCCATTCATATGGTGTCATATGTCATTTTGTTGTACAAAAGCATGTGTGTAGACTGTAGTGTATACACACAGTGCTTATAGGTGTTGTAGTGCAGGTTGCCGTAGTTAGAATTTACCTTCAAGGATGCAATTTAATTTTTGTTTGACCTCTCTACCTCATTTCTACCCTCTTAATATTTCACTGGAAGAAGAAAAAACCTCCACAGCAGACTTTGATTGCTAGTATCTTACTATCTATCATCTCAAATCAAAGAAATCTGACCAAAAATTGTCTGAGAGCTTACCAAAACTGCACATCAGCTTTAACCTTCTCCTATATTCAGCTTTCAACTTTTTAAAAAATATATTGCTTAATTCATCTTGGATGTCTCTAAGCGCTTTACAGATATACTATTACCCTCGTCATTGGATTCAGTGCTTGCCCACACACACTGTGTGCACAATCTCCACTCCCTGGGGAGCATTCTAGCCTGGCGTTACTTGACGCTCAAAGACTGGTTGACCAACGATGATGGTCGCATCCTACCGGGTACCCAGTTTAACACCCGGGTGGAGAGTATATATATATACCTGTCTATTGATCTACATAAGAATTATAATTTACCATTGTCTAATTTTTTTAATTTTGTGCATTCTTTTGTCCCTCCGCAGCTATATTGTGTAACTTCCCCTGCCTCAATGGTGGACACTGCCAGAATGGAGTGTGCGTGTGTGCCGAAGATTTCTATGGTGAATTCTGTCAACTATCAAGTAAGTGAATGGATAATGTAATACATGCATGCACAATACTGTTATGTGTTGAGATCAGTATTATGATAAAAGGTATAATTTTTTAGTATAGAGAATCAGTCATGAGGAATGGAGACACACGTTCATTACAATTGAAGACCATTGTGTATATGAGTAATATTTCAAAAGAAATGTGAAATTTTTGAACATTTAAAATTCCTTTTTACTTCCTTTAGACAAATTGATAATGTATCAATAAATGATTGATGAATCTAAGTTTTGATCTTTTCATCATATAATAATATCCATGTACGAGTCATTAGAGCTCAGGTATTTCTTTCCAGTTTATAATGAATATGCCATGGACCAGTGATGGCCTTGTGGTAGAGTTTCTGCCAGGCAAGCATCAGATGTCTTGGATATTACATGATTTTCTGTGCTTCATGACATCTGTAAAAATCTGTGCATGAAACTTGGAGTCATTGGGGGATATTCCACATAATTATAAGTACTTTAAAAATGAAGACAAATGTGTAGGATAATAGAAAACCATGTAAATATTATATTTTTCCTTGTGTTTTGTTATGATGATGTATTTTTTTCTGTGATAGATTTCACTGATACATACATACCTTGTGAACCTGCATGTGAGAATGGAGCCACGTGTGTCCAAGGACTGTGTCTCTGTCCTCTGGGATACAGAGGAGATACGTGTTCAGAAGGTAATGTATTAGAGAGAGAATGGGAGGTTCATACTGTTTAATGGTAGGGAATGATGTTTGTGGTGGTGATGATGGTGATTTTGGTGGTCAGGTGAGGGTGATGATGATCCAATAATAATGATAATAATAAATAATGATAAAACGGTGCTTATAAAGCGCTTACCATTGAAGTCTCTAAGTGCTATGATTATTGTAGTGGTGGTGATGATGATGGTGGTGGTGAGGTTGAGGGTGATGGTGATGATGATTGTGGTGGAGAGGGTGATGGTGATTGTGGTGGTGATTGTGAAGGTGATAATGATGATTGTGGTGATGATGATGATTGAAAGTATTGATTATGATTATTTCACTGATCCCTACGAACCTTGTGAACCACATGTATCCAAGGACTGTGTATGTGTCCTCTGTGTGATGACAGTAGGAAATGATGATTGTGGTGGTGATTGTATGATGATACATTGTGAGCGGCAGATGGCAGTACATGTAAATCTGATGTACTGTCAGAAGAATATCCTGCCTTTTAAAGAGTATTTTCATTAACTGTAATTGCTTTGGGCCTTATGTAGAAAGCAGGGTATAAGTAATAATAAAAACAATAATGATAAAAATATACCTTCAGTCAAATAAGTTTAATAAAAATATTGATTATTGGTTAAGAAGGTTATTATTTCCTCTATAGTAAATGTCAGATGCTCTTTTAATCTTTTTAATTTTGTGTTCTATACCTTTCATTTCACAGAGATGACCTGTGACCCCATGTGTGAGAACAACGCTGTCTGTGTACTTGGGTATTGCCGCTGTCCAGTTGGCTTTACTGGTAATACCTGCAATGAAGGTATGATACACTAATCTTAGATTACGTTTTTGATCCCCAGAAATAGAAGGAAATTCATCTAAATATGATTTCCTTCAATTGATTGCAAGAAACATGTAGTACAAGAGGCTGGTGCACTGACTTGGGTTTCTGAATGCTTTATGCATCACGCTTTCATTGGAAAGCATGATTGCAAAGATTTGTGAAAAATCCTTTGGGTTTAAGCAATTTCAATTACGGGCATCTTTCACAATGCAGATTTAACTGATAATCTGGACATGATATCTGATGATAGGTATTGAAAGAGAACCGATCTGTGAAATGATTATTTGTGGTATAGATTTTCATAGGTTTCCAAACTATTCAATAGAACAGCCCAGTCTAAATATAAGATGCTTTAAGAACCCCTTTGAATACAAAATCTAGGAACTTTCAGGTTTCTTAAAAAAATGGCAATATTTTTCCTGAAACTGTAGGCCTTCTTGTTGGTATAAAAAAATAATTGAATTTCTTTGTTTAGCAATATCCAGTAGTATCAAAGATCAAACTGACCCTTTTACAAATGATTTTATTTTGAAGATATCAACGAGTGTGAAATCAACCCTACTATCTGCAAACATGAGTGCTTCAACACCATAGGAAGTTTCTACTGTTCTTGTGCTCCTGGTTATCGGCTCAGGCCAGACAGGAAATGTGTTGGTAAGAAATGATATGCATGTTCACTTCATTATTCTAAATGTAATTTTGTTTGTAACCAAATGGAAGTGATGGTCGAAATAAGAGTTTTTAAGTTAAGGACCCAGACTTATAATTAGGTTTGGTTTAATATTGAAAAAATAGCATTACTTCATAATTTTAAGTTGGAGCCATTTTGTTGAATTGTTTTGTTGAATTATCTCTATTAAAGTGTTTGGCCCAAATTCACAAAGGAGGTTTGAAGACAAACCCAACCTAAGTTTATGTGCGTCACATGACACGTTTTGATGCGTTTCAGACCAAGGTTTGTCTGAATCTTGGTCTGAAACGCATCGAAACGTGTTATATGACGCACATAAACCAAGGTTTGTCGACAAACCTCCTTTGTAATTTCGGGCCTTTGAGTTACAACTACAAGTATGTGTAGCCCTGCAAGGCTTGTGTTCTTATTAATCTTAATCCTGATTCATTTTAGACATTGATGAATGTGAAGGTGAACATGACTGTGAGCAACGTTGCCTGAACAATATATGGTTGTACCTGTGTGCATGTTATTAGGATTGTGTTCTCACTATTTATATCCTGATTCTTTTTAGACATTGATGAATGTGAAGGTGAACACGACTGTGAGCAGCGTTGTCTGAACACCATAGGGTCGTACCTGTGTGCATGTTTTGAGGGGTTCATCTTAGAGGCTGATGGCAACACTTGTGTTGGACCCTCAGGTTAGTTTTCTAATGTCTAATTTTCTAAAGCCTACTCTTAAAGTCGCATAAGAGTGGGCTCTCATAGGAAATCCAACACCATTCAGGTGTTTATACAATAAAAGGTGTCAATCACCAGAACTAGCTTTCAGTTCTATGACCAACATGTCTTTAATATGTAATGCCTTGCATCCCCCTCGCTTTTACCTCACCCCAAAACTGTCCAAGAGACTTTTTCTTGATAGGCCGACATGTTCGCTATGTGCAGACTTGTACACATATGGTATTTCCACCAAGTCTGGTGTCACCGAAATATCGTGTTGTCCACATGGAAACTGACAACCCGCTATACTATTCATACTCGTAACAAGCTTTGTAATCTTCTAAAGTATATACAAAATTGATTTGTCCCAGTTTATGTTTCTTGAGACTGTGACATGTTAGAGCTTACATCTAAAAGTACTCAATAAAGGCCATAATTCAACCAGTCCACCTTTCATTCTTGAGCAGCGAAATTTACAAAAAACATCAAGCTTACAATTGGTATGATTGATTCAGTTTTTAACTGTATTTATGCCCAAGTGATGTATTACCATTATTGTACCCCCTCTGAACCGAATGTACCAGTAACAGTGTTTGTTTCTCATAACCTTTGTGCAGGTTGTGTGTATGAGAACCATCTGTATCCATCGGGCACCACATGGACGGTGGATGGGTGCACAGAGTGCTCCTGTGATCTGGGTGTCACCACCTGCACCGACTGCCCAACACCTAGTAAGTAGGATTAACCCATTGCCTACATGAACCGAGTGGCCCCTGTATAAAGCCTATGGGAATGAAGGAATTCAGTAATCAGCAGGTTAATTGAGTTTGCAGTGTGATGATTAGATTGAGAGAAATTTAGTGATTTGAAAAAATATTTTGGAACAAAATGTTGTAAAAACCAAATGTCAGAAAGCGCTAGAGTATGTGATTTCATGTACAAATAAGTAATTTGTAATTGGTGATATCAGATTTTGAAATCTTACTGAATTTTTGAGAAATGGATCTGCCCGCCAATTAAGGTCACCGGTGAACTATGGTCACACCATCATATATACTTAAGGACTAAGAAGTACAGTGCCATATGACATTTTCAGTGTATGATGAGGAAAATTACGCCAAGTACAGGAACTAGTGCTGAAGCATGATAGATTACCCTGGGTGTTTGAATAAATATCCCTTTTTGTGTAGATGTTGCTAGTTAAAATGCAATTTGTATTTAGTTGATACTTGTGGTGAAACGTTTTCATTTTGTACCATGTTTATCATACCTGCCAGTGAGGTCATCACATTACAGTTTTCTTCTTTTGTTTTAGAATTCCAGCAGTGCACGTATCAGGGGATCGAGTATGTCCATTCTACCAACTGGACATCGCCATTTGACCCCTGTGACCACTGCAACTGTACCGATGGTCAAGTGAAATGCATGAGAGAAATGTGTGACATACAGTGCGACTACCCTGCTCCTCACCAAACAGAATGCTGCCATGAATGCACAGGTATGTGAATAGACCATTTTCGTAATGTAACCAAATTTAATGCATATAAATCTTTGTTAAGTGGCATGTTAACAATTATATCATTAACCTTTTACAAATTACTGTATTTCAATAGTCAGAATGTGAATTGCATATATTATGTGTTGTAAGGTAGGACAAGCCAAAATGTTTGTCCTACCTAGCAACAATTAATGAATGCCATGGAGAACATGTTTAAATGGGTGCTGGCAATCCTGAATGAGATTACATTGGTAATAATAGATCTCTAAAGTACTTTGAGACATCGTACAGGTATTAAGCGTGATATTAACCCAGAATATTATTCTTAATATTAGGAATGTTTACAGTTGTTAATATATTACGCTTTGGGTGGTGAAGTTTTGACAAGCTATTGAACAAAAATCCATGACCGCCAACCAGGACTGTGAGTGATTGATTTATAGTATCACTAATGTTAACAGATGAATCATAATCTTCATGAAAATAATCCGCTTTCATATGAAAAAAAATCATGTGATGTTAAATTATTCTTGAAAGCTTAATATTAAAAAAAAATGTTTCTTTTGCCTTTTGTTTCAGATTGTCTCTATGAAGGCAACATTATCAGGAATCATCTATATTTCTCTCCTATGAATCAACAATGCACAACTTGTATTTGCCAGGTGAGCTTAATATCAGGGACCCGTTTCACAAAGCTCTTTTTTCAATGACAAACGACAAAAACCAGTGACAAATCTGCTACTAGCCAATCAGAAGCAAGGATTTCAGTAGCTTATAACAGTACTGTCATATGTCACTGATGAGTTTTGTGAAACGGGCCCCAGATCATCTGTTTGGAGCCAGAAGGGTGTTAGCTCTATGTTAGAGTACATAAATTAGTTATTACCCTTTTTTTCCAAACAGATAATGTTTTTGTTTTTGTTTTGTCATCTCATTGTACATTTGAAATATGTGTAGACCAATTTATTTCAGGATGTGAAAGCAATCAAATCATCATTTTTTATATTAAAGCACATAGAAATATTACATTTACAAATATACTCAAACACAAAACAAATAGTTATTGCCGGCTGTAATATTTGTTGTGATTTGATATGTTTTTAGGATGACAATGTAAGTGAAAGTGCAGTAATGTGAGCCATATTTTTGGAGGATAATAATATACATGTTAGGTGTGATCTCATGAATTATTCTTTATCCAGGATGGAAAATAAAACTGTAAAAATATGCGTTGTTGTAAAATACATTGCAGCAAGCTGTTCTTTTTGCAGGATGCAAATGTAAGACGCAGTAACATTCACAATACTTCTTTTTTTACAGAATGCAAATGTAAAATGCGGTGACATTCACAATTATTTTGTTTTTACAGGATGGAAATCTAAGATACAGTAACATTCACAATCCTCTTTTTTTTACAGGATGGTAATGTAAGATGCAGTAATGTAAGCTGTCCTGAGATTGACTGTTCCAGACCTATTCAGGGTGAATGCTGTCTTACATGTGAAGGTGAGGAGTGGAGCGCTTTGGAAATTTGTGAAGGGATTAATCATGATGGTCGTAATAATGATGATATTGATGCTGATAAGGTAGTTTTGTAAATGTAGTGGCACAATATCAATGCGCCTGGAACGCGAAATACATAAATGTTAGAAGTCGTAATTTCATCACATAGTCATAGAGAAAGATCCACATTATAAGAATAGAGAGCTGGTAAACACATGTACTACCGCTATGAGGCTTCATATTTTGTCATCCATAGCTATATAAGAAAATGACAGTTTATGAGGTTATCTGTACAGAGCAAATTGGAGATTAAGCTCGCGAAATATGCCACAGTGTTGCCAATTTGTGTTCCTTTGATGACAACTTAAAAAATGTGTATCTTTCTTATTTTTAATCAGATATTAATCAAACTTTCACCAATTTGTTTCTCCTATTTTTTTTGCTTTCATTAAACCAAATTAATATCAGGATAGATTTCCCCTTTGGATGTTTTACCTGAAGGATTTGATGGGCTGTATATACACACATGTAGATGTACTTTGATGTTTTTATAAATGTAATGCTTCCTGGGAGAAATTTCAATCGTTCTTATTTACTGGGTGTAATCCACAAATATGTTTAAACTACTATGATGTTGTTATTAACCCAACATTTTGTTGATCTATATTTGTATTAAAATAGATAATTGTGAGTTCCAGGGTGCAGAATACCAAGATGGTGAAACCTTTACAGCAGCATCCTTGGACTGCAGCGTCTGTACATGCAAAGTAAGTTTTGTTAACTCCTTAAAGGCCAGCTGTACTAGTTTAGCCGGGAGGGATTATACCACACAGCGTGGTCAATGACAGGTGGCTGTCTCATCAACTCAGCTCTCAATTAACATAAGAAAAAGAGGATCATGGGGGACCAATGGTCACCGATTAGGCATTGTTTTCTATATAGAGGGAGCAAGTAGCTACAGGTAGGACAGTGGGGCTCTAACTGTCACGTTCATGTACACTGAGTTACCTAAGCATTTTCATATAGCGGAGTAATTGTAATCTTGTTGTGGCCAATGTATTGTTTATTTATTAATTGTGTTATTGTAAGTTTTGTTGACTCCTTAACTGTCACGTTCATTTACACTGAGTTACGATACCTTGACATTTTAATGAAGTGGAGCAATTGTTATCTTCTTGTGACCACTGTATTTTTTATATACTAATTGGGATTTTATGGTATCGTGTATAGAGTGTAGGTATTACTGATTTTTAGTGACACCCATTCACATGAGTAACTTTGGCAGTTTTTTGAGACATTTGACAATTTATCTTTTTTCTAGTTTGATGAAACTGTTAAACAAACAGCTATGGCGTGTGGTATTCTGTCAGTTACAAAACACAGAAATGCATTGTGGAATACCATCCCATAAAATCCCATTGACTGTCCTCAGATTCTGCTGTAAAGTTGCTCATGCATGGGTATATAAAGGGCAGCCCACAGACGTACGTACAGGAGCGTAATATACTTGCTGGCTCAGTGTTATGTAATGATCGCCAAGTTGCCTACTTCACAAACGACTATATACCAACGCATAAAACATCTTTAATGCGAGTATCCAATTCGCGACAATTTAAAGATATTCCTTTGTTTCATTTGAAACACAAAAAGGTATTGTGTAATGTAACCCCTAAAAGTATCCAGCACTGCACTGCTCATATTATATTAGGCCCCTCAAAAAAAGGAAAAAAAAGTAATGCAATAATACCTTATAATTATAGTTTTCTTTAGAGTAATGTTACGTTTTACATGTTTTTTGTTCTTGTCTATTCTCAAATACAGAAAGGTGTTGTGGAATGTCGTCCATTTGACTGCCCGCCTCTGAACTGCTCTCGTAATGAGAGGGTTCAGCTCCCTGGTGAATGCTGTCCCAAGTGTATCAGTGCAGTTCCTGGCTGTGTGGATAAGTATGGTTTACTACATCAGTACGAGACGACGTGGAATGACCCAAGAGATACCTGCTTAACATGCACATGTTTGGTGAGTATTTAAACACCTCTTAGTTTTTGAAAAAAAAGTCTTGACAGCCCTGTTTTAGGAAATTGTTGCATTAATTTCCACGTTTCTTTTTCCACAATTTCAAATCTGCATCAGCAGTGGTCATGTAACTTAGTGGATTGTAATGAAGGGTTGTCTTATGTGGTAGATCTCATACTTTATTATTTATTTAGTATTTGGCATCATCTGTTCCTGGGAGCCGAAAATCAAACTACAACACTGTTACCCCCACATTTATCATTATCAATCATAATTTTAATATCATTGTTTCATGGTTCAACAGAATACTGGTGAGGTACAGTGTGCTAGAGAGCAGTGCGAGTTTAACTGTAACAACCCAGTCCATGTTAGAGGCCAGTGTTGTCCAGATTGCAATGGTAAGTTCATTTTATGTTGTACTTTATACATGTACATGTACCTAACAATATATTGTTTATATGTTTGACCTTCAAGATGATTGATTAAATATATAATAATAGGACATTCAGTTCCATATCGTAATGATGTGGTACTTTCTCTATGTGATAACATTTTAGATTTTCAACCTCTGTTCCATTTTCCCTCTGCATCTGTTAGTGCCACTGCATTTTTCTTTTACAGCTACTTAAAAGTTGAACTTTTGTACTTTGTTGTCTAGTATAATAATAATAATAATAATAAAAAAGTCATTTTTATACAGCACATTATAATAAATTCTCTATGCGCTTTACAACAATCAATTATATAATATATTACATGATTACTCTAAAGAGGTGGTATAGAGGTGTCGTGGTCTCATGGATACGTCACCAGACTGTGGATCACATGGTTTGATGTTTGAGCCCGCCGTAGCACTAATGTATTTTGTCAAGACATTAATTTATATTTGCCACTCTCCACCGAAGTGTAGTTAATGTATACCTGATAGGAATTTATTCCTTGAATGCTTCAAGCGAGTTAGGGCAGCTTGGCTAAAGAAAGGGTATGTATCGTACTTTAGAGGCACCCTGAGCATCCCCTGGGATTGATACATGTGCAATATAGATGTTTCTATTATTATTATTACTATAACTGCCACTACTATAATAATAATAATCGGGAGCGCCAGAAGGGTCAAATCTGACTGACATGAGCGCTATACAAGAACCCACTATTATTATTATTTACTATAACTATAACTACCACCAACTACCACTCCTGACGGCGGATAGTCAACCTGCTCGAAACGTCGATCCACTCCCGCCACTCATCCTCTCCAAGCGCTATAGTTCTCCTTAGAACTATAAGCTAAGAAAGATAACCAACAGTCTTTTTCAAGACTATACCAAACAGTCCATTTCAGGACTACAAACCCTCAAGAAAGATTACTGAGAGTCCTTTTCAGGACTTCTCAATCCTCCCTCTCTCTCACATGGTGCACTCGCAAGCCTACTGTATAATTACCACCATGTTGTGAATGTTTCCAGGATGTTACTACAATGGTCTCGGTTTCTCCTATGGAGCCACGTTCAAGTCTGCCTTTGATAAGTGTGATTCTTGTATCTGTCTTGGCGGAGACGTCATCTGTGAGCCAACCAGCTGCAACGTCCAGTGTAGCGCCCCCTATCATCCGCCAGGAGAATGCTGCCCTCTATGTGAAGGTACGGGATAGTGTGATAGTGAAGAGTGAAGAGGGATTGATATTTAATTATAATAATTCTAAGTGCCATTTTGTTGAACATTTGCACTGTATATAAAACATTTAAAAAAAAATTATTCCATGGTCAGCTTTGCATTTTGAAATGGAAAATTGACCAACAGCAGTAATTCTAAATGCTAAAGAAAAACCATTCTAAACACATTCTCTTGTTGAATTGTTACACTCTGTATGATTTTCAATTCATGAAATGAGAACAATATAAACTGAAGCAGAGAAAGGGTTTTATTCCCAAAGTGATTCTCAAAGTCTGTAACTATGAATACCACTTCAACAGAGATATTTCAATTATAGTTTTAATAGCTACATTTATGTTAGGAAGAGTTAACAACTTGTGTAATATTCACGTAAGCAAAACAAATTTCCATTCATTATTCACATGTAATCAGAGCATTGAATTTAATTGACATTGTTTCAATACTTTGCATAAGTAAGAAATTTACTTAGTAAATGGGTAAGTTAAGTAATTTACTTATCTCATTTTCAAATCGCATTTTAGACTTATACTTACGTAAGACAACATCTAAGTAAAATACTTACTGATAAGCATTGTGACGTCACACGGTCAATCAAAAGTAATGCGCAATTGATGCATTGCAATAAATGTGTGTTGATATAATTGTGCGCAGGTTATAATACTGCGTAAGAAAACCATATGCCTGCCAATGAAGGCATCCAACTAATCGGCTTAAGTGTGGTATGGAGATGGCTTAGATTTAGAGTTAAATACTTAGCCAAAAGTGTGAATTGAATACCAAAATTGGCTAAGTATTTTATCTAAACCAAATACTAAGTAAAAAGCCTACATTTGTACGTAAGTATTGAATTGAATACGGGCCCAGGTCTCTTCTTTTGAAACATTAAAATCCTGACATGTACATGTATCTTTGCTAGATATGAAACTACTGTGCTGTGTGTTTTTCTAAATATTTATCAATTTCCTATTCCATATTTGTGTTTTTACAGATTGTTATTTCTTGGGTCAGATCATCCCCGATAGTGAATACTTCAACCCAGCCCTTGATTCATGCAAGACATGTCATTGTGATGTAAGTTCTTCTACTATATGGCTTATCACTCATAGTATGAATCCTTTCTTTGCTGTTTTATAACTGTTATACTTCTGTTTGTCATTTTTCCTGGTGTTAATGGAAAGATTGCTATGTGAAACTTTCAATTTTGATAAACCTTGCCATTATGGAAGGCTCACAAAACTCCTTACTAAATTAACATCTACATTAATTCAATGAGAATAAAAAAGGAAGAAGTACATGTATATGTTATAATATGATGCTTGTATAATACTAGAGTCACAATCTTCTCCTTTTTCAATTGGTTAGGACATCCAATTGTGAGTTATTTATCATTTTAAAGCTGAGAATCTGTTCTTTTAGAATCGGACCTAACTGAAAAATCATATCTGGTGACTTTTTCGTGGTGTCCTGGTGCTGGGTCTCATGTTTAATATTTGTTCATGCACATTATAGAAAGGATCAGTACAGTGCACGGAGAGGGAGCAATGTCCGATGCTCAACTGCCCAGTAACTACCACGGTGGCTGGAGAATGCTGCCCATCTTGTGCCGGTAAGAAAACCATCATGTTGCCCTCAAGATGAAGTCCACTTTGTTAAAAGCAGGAAAATTAGAGAAACAGTTACATGAAAGTTTAGCAACATCAGATTGAGAATAAGAAAGATATGAATCATTGAAGTTGCAATTGATCGAACATGAATAACCACTTCTGGTATCAACTTCAAACTTGGTGATAGTTCAAATTCAAAATTCAAATTCAAAATTTATTCAGCACTCTTCATAAAAACATTAAAAACATACAAATACAGAATGGAGTAATTCAAAAACAAGAAAGTGATAATAAATACAATGGCAATTTATAATAGCATTTGGGATAGGCAGAAAAGAGGGATTCCTTATATAAAAGCCTACCCCTAAAACACACATACAGGAAAACGAGAACCAAAGAACAGAACAAAAAACAAAGAACATACTAAAACTTACTATCATGCACGATCAGATCATAGTATGATAATAAGGATTGATAATGAGTGACAGATGTTGTTCTTTACATGTATCTCTAGATGCTTTCTGCCGTAGTGATGATGGAAGTGAACACAGGAGTGGGGAGTCTTGGATTTCATCATCTGATCCATGTCAAGAATGCACCTGTTTGGTAAGAAGTCATCAATGGTAGATGATGATGATGACGATGGTGGTGGTGGTGGAGGTGATGGTGATGATGGTGGTGGTGGTGGTGGAGGTGGTGGTGATGACGATGGTGGTGGTGGAGGTGATGATGATGATGGTGGTGGTGGTGGAGGTGATGATGATGGTGGAGGTGATGGTGATGGTGGTGGTGGTGGTGGAGGTGATGGTGATGGTGATGATGATTATAGTGGTGGTGGTGGTGATTGGGGTGAAGATAGTTGGATGGTGATGCTAAGGATGGTGGTGGCAGTGAGATGATGATGATGATATGGTAATGTTAAATGGCAATGGTGGACAACCTGGTAATGATGATGGTGGTGATGATGAGGATGATGATGATGATGATTGTTATACCGGTGATGATACTGGTGTTCATGGTGGGGACGATGTTAGTCATAGCTATACAGGAGGAATGGGGATGGTAGAAGAGAAAAGATAATGGTGGTGATTTTGATTACGAAACACTACTGGAGATTGGGTAGAGGTATTAATGATGATGATGGAAGGATTGTGAGGAATAATAAAATTTCAAACTTCAAACAAATGTTTTTGTACCAGAAGTTCATCTTCTTTTGTTTAGGACTAGTATGAACCTTCCACTGTCACCCAAAATACATGTACCTTTTTATGTCATCGTTCCTGCAGTACTGCTATTTGGTGAATGCACACCAAATACCACAATGATAATTGCTAAAATGGCATATCAGCATACATTTACACAATTCTTAGGAGGGGAATTCATGTTTGCGCTAGTTCTTGTCATTAAATATTAAATGAATACTTCATGAATTTACTCTCTGCTCTGTAAACTACTTATTTTGGGATACTCTAGCAATATAATCGGGAGCGCCAGGAGGGTCAAATCTGACTGACATGAGCACTATACAAGAACCCACTATTATTATTATTATTTATATTGATGACCCTGGGGGGTGTTTCACAAAGATCCTAAGTTGGACTTAACAATTTTCGAAAGCCGTTAGCTTCTGTGAAAATATTTTGTGAAAGTTGTTTTAAAAGGCATCAAACGTTGATTCAAATCATTCCTATTTTCTATTATCAAGGAGATGTCATGTTCTTGATGTGGAATTTATAAAAACTTTAAAATACATGAATTTTCGCTTTTGAATATATTTTCTTTCAAGACTACAAATGGCTCTCCATAATTCTGAAGTCCAACTCAGAATTAAGTTTGATTTAGGATCTTTGTGAAACACCCCCCTGTTCTATTTCTTTCCCCGGTGCTACAGGATACCATCATCAACTGTGTGCCCATACCATGCCTTGAAACCTCTAACTGCACACATGGCGTCCAGATAGAGGGAGTGTGCTGTCCAGATTGCACCGTCTGTGAGTTTGAAGGCAATCTCTATAGGAACGGGTCCAGCTTTAGCCCCAATGATGACAACTGCAGAAGATGTGATTGCTTCGTAAGTGTTTGATTTATTTAATCAACGTCTTTTAAGAGCAACCTTAAATCCCATTTGTTCAATTTCACGTTTTAAAGACGGACATTCATTCATTCTTTATTTTTGCATTCTGTTTCTTATGTAATTCCCAATCATTTTGAAGCGCCTTGAGCATTTAATTAAAACGGATAATGACGCTGTATAAATCTCATGTATTATTATTATTAATAGTGACAAGGAAACTGGTATGGAACTTTTGAATGTTGTTTTACACTATTCCACTTGTGTTAAAATGATACATATGCCAGGTTAATTATTTTTTTTGTAATTCTTTTTTATTTGTATTTTTTATTAAATCAAAACTAATAGCACAATATTTACAGGTCATCAATAATGATTGGTACACATATGCGAATTGTTTTGTTTTTTACGTGACTGCTAAGAGGGTATTGCTTGTAAGTAAGCAATCCGAAGACCAGTGGCATTAAGTCCTCTCTTGGTATTGAGAACTAATGTTTGCCAAAGTACTCTAGTGCCTCTACCTGGTTTCGAACCCGGGACCTCCCGGTAACAAGGCCGCTGCTCTACCACTGAGCCATTGCGCCTCCTCTATCTTTGATCCATGATTTTTGATAAATTTTTGTTAACATTAGCTTACAGTATTTTGTAGAAAACATAATAATATATCTTAACATAATATTTTAAACAATATGATTAAGTTGGTTGCATACCTCATGTTTCCTCAATTTATGTTAAAGATGGATTAAATAAGCTTTTCTAATGCAGGATATTTTAAACTTCGATCCAGAAGGGCTATTACCGTAATCAAGGATTTAGATGGGATTCAATGAAACTCTAATGCTCTAACTATGAGTGAACATGGGTATACCATGGGTATAAATACCAGCTGTCAGAAAATATAGTACGGTACTGCTTTTCTGGTTAGCTTGTTTCCTCACATTCACTTGTAACTAATAGGGTCATTGTAGAGCTTTGTGCCAGTGTATGAATCCATTTCATTGCCATTTTATATTTTTTTGTTATTTTTGCCATAAATCAATAAAAAATAAATAAAATAATAAAATTGTATTCTCTTCATCAGAATGGAAACGTGGTGTGCGAGGAAGATAGCTGCCCTCCCATCTACTGCAGTCAGACCCTTCAAGCGTTTGGGCAATGCTGCCCTCAGTGTGCCGTCTGCACCGCTCAAGATGGCACCATCTACAGCCACGGTCAGACATGGCAGGACGGAGAGGACCCATGTACAACATGCAGATGTATCGTAAGTTCAGTTTCACTCGTTTCATCACACATAATGTGTTTAACATAAATAATCGTATCAGTACAATTTCCCCCTGGACAATCATCCCCTGGAAAAATTATCCCCAGGAAGAGATTACCCCCCCCTCCCCCATGGACAACAAACTTGGACAATTCTCCTCACCCCTGAAACGCACCCTCTAGAACAATTACCCCCTTCCTGCACCCCCCCCCCCCCCCAACAGGACAAGCACACCGAGGACGATTCCTCCTCCACCCCCTGAAAATTACCCCCTGTCTATTGAAGGGGAAGTTCATCCTGACTTGCCTCGCATTCAGGCATTTACATCTAAAAAAAAAAAATAAGCAGCAATTTTTGAAAGTCTTTTATTAGGTCATATCTAAATGCTTAATGCCGGGGCCATGCATCATCTGAATAATTGATTGTACCAGTAATATAGAAGAAAAACATTTAAAATTTAGAGGTATTCTAGACAATTTTTTTTTCTTCAAAAAATTGAGGTATTCACAGTGGGTGGTGTCAGTTTGAAAATAATGTAGAAAGAAGTGTTGTGAATGTGCGTACATTGTGCATTGCTTTTTTGAATTGTACATTAGACCAATTCTATCCTTTTTTATGTTATAAGGAAATCTCTTTCATACTACAGTTGGCTTAATGAATGTAGACCTCAGTCACAGAATTCATTCTGTTTAATATTATGTCTTTGGTTGAATATCACAGTTCACTGATGTAGAATGCAACACACCCATATCTCCCATTGGTGACTGTATAAAACTGCAACTGAATGTGTGTTTGGGGTTTTGGGTTTTTACAGACGTGCATCAATCAGATATGATTATTTACGTCTGGGGACCGACCTTTAAACGTTACCATCCAGAAGACGCGACCCAGTTTCGAACCTGGGTCCTCGGCTGAATCAGTGTGTAACTTCCATTGTTAGCTGGATTACATGCGCATGCCAAAACGCTCAGTTAAAGAATGGGAGGATGGCCTTTAAAACGATTTTGCAGTCTTCTTTTTTGCCTTTTTAATGTATTTTGAGGTTAAAAATTTACCCCAATCGATCTCTTTCATATCTTGTTGAATATATTGCAGGACACGGAGATAGAATGCAACACGCCCATCTGTCCCATTGGTGACTGTGTAGACCTGCAGTTTGAGTATGGAGAATGTTGTGCCTCGTGTCAAGGTTAGTTATCAATTGTTATATTCCACATACTAAGAATCTTGCTCTACGATTGGTCAAAAGTTGATCATGTGATGAACGATAGTTTCGCCCATCATTGACGGGAGAAAAATGTTTGTTACACTGTGTACTATCTTAAATGCAGCAGGCGACCACGGCCATCGCGGCGATGTGTGGCGCGAATTACAAATTTAATTTTATATGTTGCGTATACGTACTCACGTAGCACTAAAAACAGTTAGATTGTCTTTCTCGTAGACCCTACCAGTGAAATGATTCCAATGTAGAATATAAAGCAAATCACCCTTTGGTTCCAGGTGATGGCAAACTATCACTTCCTCAGCAATCTAAAAATATACACTATCTTTCCTCAGCTTCTCTTCGGAAAGATAGCTACATCCAGAAGTGATAGTTTTGTCCCATCTACTTCACCAACATTATTTATTTGCTTAGTTTATGAAAGGGTTAAGCCATCATGTGCTCTGTTCCAAGCAAATCTGATTTCATTTATGACCTCATTTAGATTTGTCTAAATTTGAATCGAACCAACTACCAATCAATATTTTAAATACAGTCAAACCTGTATATTAAGGTCACCCAATGGAAACATAAAAGTTGCCATTTTAGACAGGTGGCCTTTGTAGACAGGTCCTACAACACATATTTCTTGTAGACAAAAGATGTGGCCATTATAGGCAGGTGGTCTTTATAGAGAGGTGGCCACCAATGTAGGTTTGATTGTACAATTTAAATCTATATCCAATTTATTTGTTTCAATTTGCTTTTTCATTCTTTTGATGTTCATTTCCCGAAATTCCTGAACTATTTGTTCTCTTTTGAAGTGTGATTACCAATGCAAAAAAATTCTATTATGGATAGTATTATTAACATTCCCATTGAACCACTATATTCAAAATTCAAATTTGTGTTTTTCCACTATTTTTGTTTTTAGGATGCTAAGGTGATTATTCACATTTTCAGTCCTTCATGCGCCAACCACGATTGAATGGAGAGTGGCTGTTTGAATAAAAGTCTTAATTTTCCAAATTGAATACCTATTCTGATACAAATTGAAGTTCCAAATATTTGTTTTCTTCCGATCTTGTTAGGATGTACATATGACAACACAAACTACACCAATGGCCAAACATTCAGTCCCGCTACCCATGACTGTATGGAGTGCGTCTGTCAGGATGACCGTCTTAATTGCCAGCCCATTACTTGCCCGCTACCCAACTGCCCAGCAGAGTCTGTCGTCTTCAGGGATGGGGCGTGTTGCCCTGACTGTGTCGGTGAGTGAGAATGTCTATTTCAAAAACAATTTAGTTTATAAAAGTATGAAATTTAAAAGTCATATGCTTCAATGGGATGTTGATGAACTTGCGATTGGGTCCATGGTTAGACAGTGGTGTGGAACAAGCCAGAGTTGTACAGTATGTGTGCATTCGATGGTTAAGGATTCCGGTGCATACATTTAAATATTTATGAGATCAACTTGACTCCTACTTTAAGCTTTCCTGAAGATTAAAGTATTTGTTTAACTATTAAATGATTAAATTAAATTAAATTTCAGTTTATTGTCCAATATTGGAAATTTGTTTTGCTCACATTTTACAAACGTACAAAGAATCAAAATAAATGTACATACACAATATATATCATATACTTTGACATAGAAATTCTTCAGAAAATAGCTTTACAGAAATTTTCATACGTTATTATAAAACAAAATAAGTGAGTTATTTTAAACTGTTTGAGTGAACGGGATTGCCCGGAAAGGTTACAAAAATTAAATTTCAGAAATAAAGAAGAACGTAAAATACAGGTAGCATTTTGATTGTATTTGCGGATCAAGAAAGGGACGAAGGAATTTAGAAAAAGTTGAAATTCGTTTACAATTGGATGTTTTCGTTTTTCATCAAGTTTTACAACACAATTTCTGTAAATGTTTGCATTTATTTCTTTTTCATCAAGATTACGAGGTTTCAAGAATGACCTGTCAGATCGATGACGTGATCTTACAGAGTGGGTCATCGCATCAGCCTGATGAGTGCTCTACGTGCCTATGTATGGTAAGCATTGAAAATCCGTCTGACTTAATGGCTTTTAATCCAACTTTAGATAACTGATATATGATTGTATTTTAAAGATTCAACAATATTGTTTTTATCTTAACGTGGAAAGAAATAAATGAAATGAAACAAACAGCAAAGGAAATTCAACCTTCCACCTGAAATGCCTTAATACAAATATTTAATCACCTGTTACACATTATTATATTTTAATAGTCAGAATGCGTTGTGTTGTATACAAGAAGTTGTAACAGATGAATTAAATAATTCATATCCAGGCACTTCACAAAGATGTATGAATCAGGTTTGGTTACATTACGAAAATGGTCAATTGATTGTGAAAACACTGCTGCTTGTATGGGATTGCAATGAAAATAACCTTTTTCTTCTCTACATTGAAGGCTGGTGAGTTATTATGCGAAGCTCAGGAGTGCATGGACATTGGCTGCCCACAGATCAGGCAGGTCCGACCACCCGGCTCCTGCTGCCCCGTCTGTAAGATCGATGCCTGTGTGTTTGATGGGAGACTGGTGTTGGACAATGAGGTCTTTATTCCCATGGGGGATGTCTGCACCAACTGCACCTGCGCTGTAAGTCCAAGCATTATGGAGTTATTAATATTTTTTAACTTAAGGTAAAGACAGGTAGTGGTAAAATTGCGGTTCAAGGGTTTTGGGTGCAAAATATCCGTTCAATATTGTTTAAATATTGCCTTCAGAGGTTTAGATGGCAATACTTCAACCTTAATTCGCAAAAAGGCAGAAATATATGCCCAAATGAGGAGAAGAAGTGGAGGGAGGGAGTGTCATCATGGTGCGAAAGTCAGTAAACCCCTTGTTAGAAGTAAATAGCTGACTTTGATAAATGATGATGATAATGATGGTCATTAATATACAGGACAAAATACCTTGACCTTGTCCACCTACATGTGCCATTCATACAGTGAACCATATTCAAATATTGCAATCTTATTGATATAACACTGTTTTCCAGTGTTTACTTGGAAGAGTTAAAAGAAGTTAGCCTAAATGATATGAGTTGATATTCATATACAGTCAAACCTGCTTTAGTGACCACCTGTCTACAAAGACCACTTGTCTACAATAACCACATTTTTTGTTTCCCTTGAAATGGGTTTCTCATTAAAACATGTACTAAAAGAACCAGTCTACAAAGACCACTTTTTGTGTTTCCCTTTGGCGGTCGCTATAGACAGGTTTGACTGTAGCAGCTTTCAGAGCCTTTGTTAACCTGTTGACTGACTACTAAATCATCTCATTCCCATAGACTTAATACAGGAACCATGCGGTTCTAGTAGACAAGGGATTAATACATTATGGATTTGTTTTTCTTTCTGGGTAAACATTTACCAGCATGATGAGGTGTAGATTCATTTCTTGCCAAAGGACAGTAGTGACATGTCAGTGATTTGAATCCTAGACTATGAAGTCCACTGACTTGTCATCTAGACCTTTATTTTACTAATAGATAATGATAATATAGAGCTTAATACAATGTCTCTAAGCGCTTAACAGATTTACTATTACCCCGGTCATTGGATTCAGTGCTTGCCAACACACACTGTGTGCACAATCTCCACTCCCTGGGGAGCATTCCAGCCAGGCGTTGTTACTTGACGCTCACAAACTGTTTGACTGACAATGACGATTCCTCTTCTCTCTCTCTCTCTCTCGCTTTCACAGGATGGTTCTGTGAGGTGTCAATCCTTCTCTTGTCCAGAACCAGACTGCCCTGTCGATGATCAGATTCAAGGAGAGGGTGAATGCTGTAAACACTGTGCTGGCGCTCTCCAACTAAGTATGTTCCAGAATTCTGATTTGACCTAAAAAGGCACAACAAATATTATCTCTGGATCAATTGCAAGATGCAAATTTGTTGTTAAGAAACAGCCACTTGCAATGTTAGCATCCATGTCTTTTCACAAAGTTGCTCGTTCAAAAATATCTCACTTACATAATTTTGCTAAAGACATTTTCAATAAATGAAATGTCATTAAAACAAAAATTATGGTTCATGTGTCTGTCCAAGAATGCTATGAAAATCTGGAAATTTCTCCTTTTTTATCCTTCATGATAATAGTTTCTCCTTTTTATATATTTAATGATAATAATTTCATCTTTTTATCCGTGGTGATAATTTCTTCTTTTGAACTGTCATGATAATAATTTATTTGTATCTGTTGAGATAATAATCACATCTTTTTATCTGTTGTGATATTTTCTTCTTTTTATCTGTCATGATAATGATTTCTTTTTATCTGTCGTGATAAACATTTCTTCTTTTGTATCTGTCATGATAATAATGTCTTCTCATTTACCTTTGACATTAGATAAGCTGCCATGTACATTCCAGGGTGAGGCCATTCCATCTGGGGGGAGTTTCATGATAGGATGCCAGGAGTGCATCTGTGAGGGAGGAAACCCTCGGTGTGCAAGACGCGAGTGCCCTGTCCTAAACTGTCTTGGGGTGAGTCATAACGTAGTGTAGACAATATAATATAATGACACAGGACCGCTTGGTAGAGTGGTACTCAATATTGCAATTGCTACCCTGTATATAGAGGACTGAAATAAATAAATAAATGAATGCATAAACCCTTTGAGTGCTGAATTTTTCATTTCTCCAGGGTTTATTACAGGAACCACCCAGTTCCGTAGACAATAGGTCAATGGTTTTACATTTACTAAAAAAAAAAAAATATTGGAAAGTTTCTTGCCTAATATCATAGTGAAATTTGGTTAATCGTAACTTCTGTTTTAGGAAGATAAAGTTATCAAAGATAATTTATTGTTTCGTCAAGCACACAGTTTGTAAAATGTCCTGTTTCCTGTGTTACCCCTAAACTGTTTTAGCCAGAGTACTGTGACTTTTTAGCTGTCTTATTAGCTATAAACCCATGGTATCAAAACATCCAATCCATGAATTACACTAAGTCACATAAGAATGTATTATGACCTTCTTTGTTATTCTATGTAGAATGTCATGTTAAATCCTTTTATGGAATGTCTAGACTTTTATTTCTGTTCTACAAAAGTCTAGAGGATTTCTTATTTCTTCTCAATTTGTAAGTTTATGAAACTTATTTCATAAGGATAGGACTTTTCTTTCAGTCATCTTAAATTTCTTGTTTTGTCATTTACAGGGAGATGAGGTACAGATGGCACCTGATGGATGTTGTGAAGAGTGTGTGCCAAGTGAGTCCTCGTTTATTAGTCTGTATTATTCATTTTATTAGCCTTACATGATCTCCTCATCACAATTGTGAAAAGAAGACAGCTACAATCAGGTGTGTAACTAGATGGAAGAATAGCTTGGCAAACACCATCTTGCAAGGATGAAACTGATAGGAGAAAGATGGCAGATCAACTAGGACATGAACTGATAACATCAAGTAGTGGATGAGCATCTCATTTGAGCAGCTAACAAGAACAGCTGAAGACAGAAAGTTATGAAGAACCTGTGTGTCTCACGGTCCATTTCATTGTCGCCCCAACAACCTCCAAGCTTTGGGACATTGATAGATAGATTTATCAGATGATAAACACATACTTTGTACCTTTTGGAAAGTAAGATAGCTTGGCAAAATGCAATGACACAAAAAGGCACATCCCCAGTGCAATGACAGTTCTTATTGGTTATATCTCGATGAAGGTTTAGGTAATGATAATGCCAATCAAGATATACTTGAACTAACCAGCTCCAGGCTCGGCGACTATATGGGAATAAAATTTATGGGAATTTTGCATTATCTTTATTTGCGCTACTAGTCTATTACCCTTGGAAGAATACCTTCAGTCATTTATACCTGGATCAAGTACACCCTCGAGTCTGAATAAAGGATACATGGTTCTGCTATAATTGCATCAATTGATTGTAGGGAATCGCTGTGTTTTATTACAAGCCATTGGCTTTTGAATGCAGTTTCCCAGGCACAATTTTATTATTTATTACATCTGTGTATTTTATGAAACTAATTAATAAATTGAATTGGATTGAATTAAATTTTAATAACTCAGCTTTTATTGCAAAACTGTTATTTCATTTTGGACTGTTCTTTCTAGGCCTTTGATTGTGATGATACTTGGGAATAACTTGTATAGGCATTCATCTGATTGCAAGTCTTGATTGTAAACATGTTCAACCAAATGTTTTAATGCATTTTTTGGTTCATTTTTTTTCCTTTTCCTTGAATTTTGTGCTACAGAGATGGGATCATGCATAGTCTTTGGAGATCCTCACTACCGAACGTTTGATAAGGTATTCCATGACTTCCAAGGAACTTGCACCTACACACTCAGTAAAGACTGCAGCACTAATCAGTTTGAGGTTTGTGAAGCTTCTTTTCCATAAATGTTGTTTAAATATCATTGATTTTGGAAAAAGATGCTATGAAATAATTGAGTTTGTGAATTTTGAAAGGTGTCTAATAATATTGATAATAATGATGATGACGACGATGATGATTATGCTGATGAGGATGAGGATGATAATAAGATTAGTAATAAGGATAATATATTGTTCATTAATAGCTCATATCACATTACAATATGACATTTTTACGTGTTTCCGAACGACTTTGGATATTATTACCCAAGCTTTAGCTTCACCAACTCAGTGTATTCAAGGAATAAAATTATACCTGGTACTTACTGTAACTGGGTGGAGAGTGGCAAAGGAAGATTAATGCCTTGTTAATTAAAGGACATTAGTGTCATGGCGGGACTGAAACTGCAAAGCATGTTACCCACAGTCCGGTGATGTATCCACTAGACCGCAATTTCTCTTCACTATATCTGTACATCTCCGTAGCCAAATTTTGCAAGATCCTACTTGTTATATCCATCCCACACAACAATCATTTCCCTGTTGAACTATGACCTTCCTTTGATGTAGAAGTGTCGTGGTCTAGTGGATATATCACTAGAGTGTGGATCACATGGTTCACAGTTCGAGTCCTGCCGCTGAACTAATGTCTTTTGGCAAGACATTAATCTACATTTGCCACATTCCATCCAGGTGAGGTAAATGTGTATCCGGAAGAAGAAATGCCTTGAATACTTGAGCACCTCTTCATAGTAGCTTGGCTAAAACGGGATTAATAAATTGATTGCAGGGCCCTCAGGGAGAACACTATTAATACTGATGAGGCTACCCTTGGTAAAGAAGACATATTATTGATATTATTATCATCATTATCATCATCGCCTTTAGATCATAGTACAGAACAATGGGAAGGAAACATATGCTGTATCCTGGACAGAGCTGGTATCATTCAAGGTTCATAATGTGACCATCGATCTCTTACCAGACTTTGCTGTGAGACTGAACAAAGAAGAAATCACTCTGCCGTACCTCAATGAACCTGAATTCAGTATACAAAAATTAGGTAAGGTTTGGGCTATTGGAGATTTCCTGCGTGTCTCTGAATTTTTAATTAATCTATTTATTTATAAAAAATAAAAAAATATTTATTTATTTATTTGTTTTTGATTTTTTCATTTATTTTTTTATTTTTTTAAATATTTCTTTTTGGGAGTGGGTTTGTATTGTGTAATTAGGAACAATTGGCTAGTTCAGGTGTCAACAGATAATTGAGATGATCTACCGTCTTCTTTTGTAAAGTTGAATGATAATGATACAAACGTTTTCACTCCCACTTTAGAACATAGATGTTATCATTAATTTCTCTCTTTCTCTCTCTCACTGATCACAGTCATGTTACCGCTTCTCTCTTGTATTGCCCTTTGTAATGCTCTTTGTTTTGGTCCTCCTCCCAACTAACTATACCTACATATACATGTGTAGCATATCATATTCTCGTCTTGATATGAGCCTCATAGTGGTCAACATTTTCATTAGTACGTGTTGTCTGGAGCCAGTAGGGCATTATCTCAGTGTTAAGTGATATGAGTTAACGCCCTTCTTGTGGACATAATGAACACAAGGAAATTTATTTCTCCCCTGCTTGCACTTTTAGTTCTTTAACTCGAAGTTACTTTTACTTTCAGAATAATGTTTATGGTTATACTGAATGTTTTCCCTTCTTTAAAGCTTTCATTGCAGTGAATCATCGCTATTGTGGGATGTAGATCACTTTACTTAGTTTATTGCTGATGGCATATAGGAAAGTTTAACTTTTCCTTGGTGCTCTTTCTTTTGCTCCTGTATCTGAAAATCAAATATACTTTCTTATTAAATTAAGTTGTTATTCTGTATGTTTTCCCTTTATACAGGTCTCATGGTAGTGGTTCATACAAACATTGGTATATCTCTTTCATGGGATGGATCTCATTTTGCTGAGGTCGTAGCTGATGGGATATGGGAAGGACTTCTCTGTGGATTGTGTGGTGATTACAATGGTAACCCTGATGATGAATTCAGGTAGGTCCCTTTCAAGATAACGCATGCCTCTTTCATATTCACCACTGGATAGGGTTGATCAAGACTGGACCAAGTCCAGACCCACAACCATAATGAGTGATATCAAAATCAATTTACTCCCTGCTTAGCCCTTTTTCTAGCAATTAATTTTTTGGGTTGAGTTCACTTTCATTTTCTATGTATGATTACAATGAAACCAATTGCAAGTTAGTTTGTGATGATGATTATCAAACTTGATATAGATATCGAACCATGAGACTTATTTGGGACTTTTACATTGCACAATATTTATTTCGATTGCACTTTACCTGTAAAAAAAACTAAACCATCTTTATTCCCATATGTAACTCAATAATGGCACTCGTAATAACAATAATTATTATAATTATTATTATTATTATTATTATTATTATTATGACCGGTATGTTGGCTAAGTCAGTAGAGCGTCCGCCTCACAACCGGGAGGTCATGGGTTCGAACCTCGGCCGCATCATACCAAAAGACGTTAAAAGACGGGAGTTGCTGCTACCTTGTTTGGCGTTCAAAAAAAGGGATAGAGCAACGTCAATCTGGCGCTGCTCAGTGGTGCTGGGCTCACGATCAATTGGGCAAAAAGGATTTCAATTTTGGGTTTATTAAAATTTGGAGTGGACTTTAAAAGATTATTATTATTATTATTATATTATTATAATAGTGGACTCTTTTATAGCAATGATGTCTGTTAGGCTTGACACTCCTGGTGCTCCACGATTATTACTCCGGCTTTAGCATGGCCGCCATTATGGCGCTCTAGCACTGTTAGGAATGTATTCCTGGCAGGTAACCATTTACCTAACCTTGGTCAAGTGTGCCAAATGTAAATATCTTTCCAAAGGATGTTAGTGCTGCGGCAGGGATTTGAACCCTGTACCCTGTGGTTCACAGTCCAGCGACCTATCCACTAGACCATAACACCTCTCTGTTTTTATGTGTAACAGGGCTTCTAATGGAACACTGTGTGGCACTGCATCTGAGTTTGGAAACACATACTTGGTAGGCGATTACGCTGAATGTTCATGTCAAGAGAGCGTAGAACAGACCCCTTGCGTCAGAAACGATAACGCTGACATGGAATTCATGGCTAGGGAAAAATGCAGCATACTCAAGGTGGGTTTCTGTTTCAATTTTAACTTCCAATTCAAATCCAGTTCAGTTCCATTCTTTTTCCCATTTAAATTCAATTTACATTCCGATGTCAATTCCATTTCCATTTCAATTACATTCAAAATCCCATTTCAAATCCAATTCTATTCAACTCCAATTCCAGTTAAGAGGATCTTTGATTGGGAGAGCACTCCATGTCTACAACAATTTCATTTTCATGCAGTCTGATGGGAGTTTTCCCCTCTTAAGTGATCTCAACTTGTAAAATGTCTGAATTTTTCAAACAGTCCTTGTCCAATTGATGTAAAGTTTTCCACAAATCTGTTTCACATATTTTTCTGTTTCCACTCGTGTAAATAAAGGGTGAATTCTCCTTAAGTTGTTTTCATCTTTTTGTGTAGCATTAACTCCTTTCTATTTTTTTTACTCCTTTTTTCTCTATTTACAATCAGCAGGGAAGAACCATTTGCTGCTACACATGCATTAGTTCCACCTTTGCCTTTCTTTGAACAGTAGATGGCGCTTTGTTTTCATCAACAGCAAACAAATCTCCTCTCTATGTTTTTTCTTCTCTATTTACAATCAACACGAAGAACCATTTGCTGCTGCACATGCATTAGTTCCACCTTTGCCTTTCTTTGAACAGTAGATGGCGCTTCGTTTTCATCAACAGCAGACAAATCTCCTTTCTATGTTTTTTTTCTTTTCTATTTCCAATCAACAGGAAGAACCGTTTGCTGCTGCACATGAATTAGTCCCGCCTCTGCCTTTCTTTGAGGCTTGTATGTATGATCTGTGTGCGTGCCCTGCACAGGAGCGCTGTCTCTGTGATGTATTAACAGCCTATTCTCATGAAGCCAGAAAGAAAGGTATCATGATAGACTGGCAAAGAGACAACTATTGTGGTAAGGAGACTTTTACTTTAACTCTTTTCTTCAATTTGTTTTAGAGAGAATTTCTTAGGAAGCATTAGATCCAGCTGGGTTGTTATTTTGATTGGAAATGTATTTTCTCATTGAAATTCTTCTTTTCCTGCTTTTATCCAATATTTCAGTTCAGTTCAGTCTTTATTTCCACTCTTAAGAACTATGTACATGAAATATATAAACAACAGAGCATCATCAATAGGAAACAATACAAAGCAATTAGACAAAAGGAATTACAAGAATGAGGGGTGAACAATAAAGAGAAACCCCAACATAAGTATAAGAACATGACTTTTATATCACTAAGATTAGAAAGCTGGATTTGCATTCTAATTCTAAAGAAATTTTTTATTTAAAGCAAAGTAGGCCTACCTTCAATATGCCGTAGAATAAAAATTGAATTTAAATGTTTAGAAGACCAGATTTCAGAAATGAAATATGCCCGCAGTGAGAGCCCAAATGTAATTTAGTCCATGCAATAATTAAATAGATATGAGAATTGTAAATCGATTTCGATTTATTCCATCTGCAATTTTATGTGTCTTCAGTGACAATGTGCTTCATTTAAAATGATTACAAAGATATATCATGTGTTTAAAGGCAGCAGGGTGTCCAGGTAACATAGCAAAATGTAATAGCGCAGAAAGACCCTTAATTTCGACATATTTAAATGACAAATTATGGTAATATTAAGTCTAAATATGGTAGTATACATATTTCCTAGAATAGATACTCCTTAATCCAGTGTCCTAGAAAGACAGTTCTATCACAATGTCATAAAACTATGATTTTCAACAATCCCAGACCCTTTCTTTCATAACACTGTATTTTTTCCTAAGCTACCTAACTTTGTGTTTGAATATATATAAGTTAAATGTCTTTTGGCTCCCAACAGAGAATATACCTACTTGCAACGAAAATGTTTTGTACACAGTCTATTATGTGTATTCTTAGTATTTTTTCCTCATTTGTATTTTTCCAGCAATTTCTTGTCCAGAAGGAGCCGTTTACAATGAGTGTACGCCATCCTGCGTACAGACTTGCTCAACAGTGAACACAATAGAAGATTCTTTAGAATGTAATCAACTTGAGAATTGCATACCAGGATGTAAATGCCCGGCAGGAATGGTACTACACGATTTCAGATGTATAATGCCTGAAGACTGCCCTCTATAGTCTGAAGATCTACATTCAAAGACTGTTTTAAAAAAAAATAATGGGCCTTCTTCAGCATTTGATGTGGAGTTCTCCTAATGCACATCTCAGTGTTAGTCCATGACCTTTTTACCTTGTGGAGTGGGGCAGAAAAACAATGTAATAATTTAGAACACTCTTAAAGAAATCATGAAACTTTCACGATCAGTATTTGATATGGAGTCATTCTTTCACTAATTGCTTTGTTTGTGCACAACTTTCTTTCTCTTGGTCGAGAGAGGGAAGTAGAGGTAACTAGAAGTAATATTTTACTTGTCCAGTAAAAGGATGCTAAAGAAAGAAAGAAAATCATGGCACATTCTCAATTAGCGTTTGATATGGAGTAATTCTTTTTCGATGTTAGTGAAGAACTATATCCACGGGGTCGAAGAGAGTATTTATGGATATATGAGTTTGAAAGTCTGTCATGTTCCACATATTTCTGATTTGGATTTGGAGTTGCTATACCCCAGTTTATAGCACCTTGAAGTAATTTGCTGCTTTTGCGCAAATGCCGGTTGGTGAAATTATTGAAGCACTGTCGGTAAAACATTTACTTATCTGTATTCAAGTTATAAACAGTTGTTGTATGTTTTTCAGAAAGTATTTGCTTTATCAGCCAACCCTGCAGTCAGAACAAATGCTTTGATCTTACGTTTTCATTAAGGCAGAACGTACATGTAATTGAAAAAATCTAAATGGAATTGCCACACTTGATATGTCTTTACGCAACATGACTCATGGCTTCATGACGAAAATAAAGCTTTTATTGTACATGTACTTTAAAAAAAATGTTCATGTATGCATTTCTGTGATATTTTTTATTCCTAGAATAGGTTAGGATTATTTGTGAATGGGTTTTTATATAATTTAATGATAGCACTACCTCTGTTTAAATATATTCATGTATTTTGTTAGTTTAATGATGATTTTATTTTAGATGTCTTTGTTGTATGCTTGTACATGCACCATTAGTAGCAAGAGTTGTAGCTGCTGTTTAAATACATGTACTGATAATTTTTTTTGGCTCCTTTTACTTATGGATTCCACAATTATATTAATTTAAGAATATTGCATTAATTCTGTAAAGAGAAATTGCAAGTTTTAAAATCTAACTTCCATTTTTAAGAATTCGATATCGGGTTCTGTGCAGACCGCTTTAGTATGATGCTTCCCCCCTTTACGCTCATTGTTGATAATTTGAGCATCATAGAGTTGGGAATGAATTTGTACATATTCTAACGATACTCAAAAGTATTTTTGTTATTGCTCCCCTCTGGATAATCCTTCTTGTGACTGGTTTCTTACCCGGGAAAGTAGTTGACTGAATGTAGCAAATGGCATTTGTAAATTATTAGCTCTGGGTATAGTGTGATTTATTTATTTTTCTCATATTTTTCATTTACTGAAAATTTATCATTTTGAAGATAATGGATGCTTAATCTATTACCTAACATCAAAATGATTTTTCCTAGAAAGTTTTAAGTTTTGTTAATTTTAGTTTGGTTTAGCTTTGCAATGTATATATAAATATATCTTAATGTTTTATTTTTAACTGAAATTATTGTTTAGTATGCTTTCAGAATACTTCTACCTTGGTGGAAGGAACACACACTGAAATGCCTGGCTGGTAAACCTAGATCTCTTTATTTTCTAACATATTTATAAATATTGTTGAAATTGAATAGATATGCTGCTCTTATGGTGCTATTTCCTTGATACGGAGTAACCAAAAAGGTTACATAATCAATATAACTTATTGTATTTTCTCATTAATTCTACTACTTTGCAGGGTACCTCTCATTTTGTATTTCAAAGAAATGTTTCTTTGAAAGACAGTCATGAATTGATGACATTGTAACTGTATAATAATGCTTATTACTGTTTCTCAAAATCTGATATTGTGTCATGCTTTTAATACTCTGGTGCCAACTTTGGACTCTTAAAAAAAAGATTGTTGATTTTAAAATGGAAATAAATATTAATGATTATGTATGATACTATGAATGAAATATTGATTTGTCATTTCTTAATATGTTTGTCCTATCTATTCTGTTTGATTGTGTGGGAAAGTAAATGTCACCTTGTTAAGACAAAGCTCACAAGAACAGTCTTATTAATTGCCATGTAAAAGAGAATGGGAGGGGCTGAACAAAAATTGAATTAAAAAAGGTTGTACTGTTAAAAATGAAAAAACAAAAAAGTGATACAATGTAACACTTCAAAACACTTAAAACAACCTTAAGTTTAATATTTCATGTGATGACTTCTAAGGTAGCTTTATTAGAGGAATGTATGGGCACAAAAAAGATGAGTCCGCAACGCAAAAGGCAAAGTAGTGATGTTTTGTAAATTTCAAGTTCTTTTTTGATGTATTTAAATGAGAATTTGGCTAAAATTAATCCTCATGGTGATGATATATGCATTTACCAGCTCCATATCCCAATGATGTGGTTCTTCCTCTGTGTGATAAAATTATGATTTTCAATAATTACACATTTTGCGCTCTAGAGGCATCTTTTTGTGTCTCTTCATTTTGGCTGAGCTACAGTGTGGCAACTGTTTTTAAAAACATAAAGAAGATTATAAGTGACCCCTTTGAATTAAGGTTCAGTGTTCTATGAGATGTGGATTAAATAATCACAAACCATTTAGTTAAAAGCACACTGTCCTACTTGTAGCTACTTGCTCCCTCTATATAGAAAACTTCCCCAATCGGTGCCTGTTGGTCCCCCATGATCCTCTTTTTGCTTATGTTAAATGAGAGCTGAGTTAATGAGATGGCCACCTGTCACAGTGACCTCGCTGGCTCGCTTGGTGGTCTAATCCCTTCTGGCTGAAGTAGTAAAGCCTGCCTTTAAATGAAACTTAAGGTTGCAATAAAAAGAATGTAGAGAGTGAGAGATTGAGGTGATAGAAAGGACAATGATGGCTACTGGAGGGAAAGGAGCAAGAGAGAGAGAGAGAGAGAGGGGGGGGGGGGGCTTTATTGATGACTGCAAGAGGTTTAATGTACTTCAAATTAATGAGTAGTGTAGTATGTAATATTTGTATTCATTTAAATAATTCCACAGGGAAGCCAAAGGACTGGACTACATAGAGTTTCAGCTGTAGAAACGGAGAGAGAGAGAGAGAGAGAGAGAGGAGGAGAAAACGATAAAGGAAGATAAAGAGAGAGATATATATATAAAGAGAGATAGATGAAGATAGACAAAGAGAGAGAAAGGAGAAAACGAGAAACAATGGTAAAGAGGCAGAAGTGTGACAGTGTAAAGGAAGTTATTATAAACTATATAATTATTATAACATTTTTACACAATTCTAAGTGTAGGTTATATTCAAGACCTGCCGAATTTGGCATCTCCCAAAATAGTCCGGTAGAAATTTTTCTGACCTGGAAAAGTTGTTAGGTACCATTTTTGTTTTGGTCGATTCGTGTTTTACATTGGAACTATTCGTTTAAATAAAATGATAAAGCTCATAAACATGTTTTACACTTCGTCACCAAAGAGTGTAATACCAGAAGAGATTTTACTCTGTTTTATCTTATTTCATATATATATATATTTATATATTCTTTTAAATTTTGCCAAGGAATCCTCGTACTACAATAATATATATTCCAACTTGTGTAATACCAGAAGAGATTTTACTCTGTTTTATCTTATTTCATATATATATATATATATATATATTTATATATTCTTTTAAATTTGCCAAGGAATCCTCGCACTACGATAATATATATTCCAACTTTAAAGCCTGCCCCATATGCTTTCTCTCTCTCTCTCTCTCTCTTTCTCTTGCTGCCTCTCTTTATCCCCCTCTGTCACTAACTCACTCTGTTTATTTCTTTCTTCTATGCTAATAAATCAGAACCTTGTATCTAGTGCATGATACATCGCCACTATACTTTGGAATGTATTTTTTTTGCATTTATCACGGGTCGTCTTTGTAAGTAATTGCTCAGAGGCATGTGTATAATTGGCTCTGTTAAAGCTTATGGAAAATGTGAAATAATATCATTGATCTTATGTAGCCTATTTTTCAACAATTTCCACCACTTGGATTCCTAAACAACTTGTTTAACATGTTTTTAAGTCCATGTTTAAGATACTACAACAGTTGCAAAATATTATGTTGCAATTAGTGGGAAATTAATGTCATTTTTTCAAAAAATGACTGTTTTCCCAATTTGAGGGAGGGGGGTAGATGATACAGATAATAACTTTTAATTTATATGCTCTTTCATGATTAAATGATAAACATTTCATTGATATTCCGTTGTCTACTGACCTTTTATTTGGGGATGGTTGAGGCGCAGTCTATTAGAGTTTAAGTGTATTTTCCGAGTAGGCTACTAGTCCCTGCCGACTTATATAAATGATCAATTTTCCAAGTAGACCCCTACATTATAATGAAGTAGCCATTCAATCGCTTATATCTATTTAAAGCGAAACATCCACCCTTCTACATGACTGTTATGGATAACGAAACCGACGCAGAAGTTACTGGAATTATCTATTTTCTGTAAGAATTATTCTTCATTCACGCATTAATACGTTATGTACACATATGTAATTTTTGTTTAAATTTAAATTTATTCATTCATTCATGCGAATCATTATCTAGAAAATCAATCGAAGTAATAATATGATTCTTTAAACACATTAGAACAACATGTATGATGGTGAATTTCATGGATTCAATGACGGAGTATATACCGGTAGAACCTTAATATAGCATTTATATTTAGCTATCTAGCTTTTGGTAATATAAACTTTCATTATAGAAAAACAGTGATCGAAAATGCCATGATCACTTTCATCAATAGCACTCATATCTCAATAATAATTATTGCAAGAAACGTGTGGAATTATACGTTATGACATCATTATATATCATATTCAAAAAGATGTAAGACAAAAGTCTCTGAAGTAGAACAAGTAACCGAATAAAATAGCATACCACATGGAAAAACAGGACATTTATTCACAGCACTGCCCATCCAAAAGTAAACAATATGACTAGTCTTTTAAAACATTTATTTTATTTTATTGCGATTTACTCAATTAATGCAAATAACAACTACAAAATAAGTACATCAATAGATACAAACTCACATAAATTGATCATGAAAAACTTCAGAATTGATAAGAGTAACAAATCTTGAACACATTCCGGTTATGATTATAATGAGGGAGAACTGCAAGTTCCTATTGTCACTCTTAGGACTAAGAATTATTTTTTGTAATTCGAATGGAATACTTTACACTGCATTTAAAAGGATTAATTCTCTTTCTAAAATCATATACGTATATACCGAGTAAGAATATGATAGAAACAATATACAGAGGGAAACACAATTACCCCGAAGTATGAGGTAAACAACAAAAACATACACACACAATCTTAAAAAAGTAAATATTACCAAAGAGATACCATTGTACCTGCTACATTTCTCTTCAATCCAATGGCATGTTTGCATGAGCTTTCATTAGAGAAAGTGAAAATTCAGTAGTTGCCACGGGTTAATAAGTAATCTCACATGTTCCTTAATATAATTAATACATGAATAATTATACTTAGTGAAACAAACAAACAAACAACAAAATAGTTTGTGGCCTTAGTCAAGCATAGGAATCATAAAATAATTATGGATAGGAGATCTTAATGTACATTTCATCATCTAAATTGAAGTTGTGCTATGTACAAATATATATCAAATATTATTGCTGCTTGTAAACGGTAATTGTACAAAGAAAAGTAGAAGAAGAATGAGGGCAACATTATGCATTTATTTCCTGACATTATACATGTATAGTTATTTAACTTATCCGACAATTTTACCGTGAAATGTGTTATTTCATCCCAAAAATAGTTTCCAATTACTGCAAGCTACAGCATTCCAAACGAATTTGGTAAGTTACTATGTGAAGTCAACGTGTTGCGTATATATTAACAAGAATTTATATTTTCGATTATTTTATAGACAAAAGACTTGTGGTCTATCGGATATGTCTCCGGACTGCGTAACACAAGTTATTGGTTCGATCCCTGACGCAGCCATATTCCTTGGCAAACTCTTATTCTGTATTTGCCACACTCCATCCAGGTAGAGTAAGGGTACCTGGTTTGATTGTTGCCGGAGCTAAAGCCAGGGTAATACTATCCAAATTCCTTTGGAAGCGCATACAGACGTTTTATCATAATGTGATATGCCCTATAAAACTAAACCGGAATACTTAAAGCTAAGGGGGGGGGGGGGTTGTGGCGTATGTAGTTCCCACTGACCCTCTAATACTAGAGAGCTCATTCTTCGAAATTTATGTTGGGAGATGGTACTTGCACGTTTACCGATTCCATTTGGTTCAATGAGCACATTTTTTTTTTTTTTTTTTTTGGGGGGGGGGGGGGGGTTCTCGAAAATTTAAAATTTTGCACCACCCCCCCCCCTTGAGCGCCTTGAGCGCAAAAAAAGATAAAAATCACGTGTTTTTACATGATTTTTTCTCAAGGAGGGGGGCCTGGTCCCCCGGGCCCCCTCCTGGGTCCGCCACTGCATAGGCCAATATCCGTTTGGATAAATCATCAATAATAAGTTCGTCTTAATTCAGCTGGTCAATATTTATTTGGTCTATACACATTTCGTCTCATAGCCATATGGTCCAGTCATGGTTTAGTTGGATAGCCATTCGGTCGAAGAAATATTTTCTTTCTTCGTTATACAGTTTAGCCTAGTAACAAATGAGTTCCAGTTCAATTATTGTACCATATTTCTAGCTCCAAAATTATCACAAATATTTTCCCGAGCTAAAATCACGGCAGATTTAATATCCTGTTTATATGTCCGATAAAAATCATGTTCGGATTACATAACATAATATGACAAATTTTTTCATATATTTCGATGAATGATAGACAAGGCTACGGAAAGTAACTCCACATTTGTTTTTTAAATGGAAATGTGATCACGTAACATGTAATGGTCATTTAACGGCGTGTATTATAATCATCGCCATAAGTAGCGTGAATGCAAGAGATACACACAATATTGTAAATTGTTGGCTTGATTCATGTTGTTCATGATAATAATAATAATAATAATAATACATACGATTTATAAGGCACCAAATCCACTTTACAATCAAATGCTCAAGGCGCAGCTGTGCAAAAGATGATGTTCATGATAAATATATACAAAAGTACAATAGGAAATATACAGACATAAAAGTGGTAATCAATTATAAGCTAAATTAAACAGATATTTCTTAAGATTGTTTTTGAACACTTCACCATAACTGCTAATTTTTGATCCTTTGTGGCAGAGTATTCCATAATGAAGGCCCAGCATGAGCGAAGGTTCACTCCCCACTTTGTTTTAACCCTGGCAATAACAAGGAAGCCAGAGTTTTGAGAACGTAGCTGTCTAGAGGGAATGTAAGGCTTAATCAAGCCGATGTTGTACTGCGGATTAGAGCAATGTATACAGTGAAATAATAACAAATTAATTTTGAAAACAACACGTTCTTCTACGGGCAACAAATGGAGTGATTTGAAAACTGGTGTGATGTGACTGTACTTGTTGGAGAGGTTCACGACACGAGCAGCAGCATTCTGTATTTTTTTGTAATTTCTGGAGTAGGTTGTGAGGCGAACCAAACAAAAGGCCATTACCAAATTCCAAGCGAGATTAGATTAAAGCATGAGTAATTTTCTCAGTGGCAAGTACGGTTAAGATATTTACGAACTAAACCTAATTTAGTGGGCGCGCAGTTGCTAGCGTCAAACAACGTTGAATGAAGCGTGTATGTTTATGAAAATGTTGTGATAATGACAAGAAAACTATTAAATTAATAGATGAATAGGTAAATTAATAAATACGAAAATAAAAAAAAATCGAGAACAGTGCTCAATGTACAACATGCCCATACTATCAAGAATCACGTATGCACAGCTATGGCAATTTACACGGATTGATCTGAATCCCCTTAAATATGTGTTTCCTTTAAAATGACCAAGATTGAATTTTTGTTAAGGTAATGTTTTAAGCCTCCAAATCCAATTTTGTTTAAACTCGAATATAGAGTTTATAAAGGTTTGGAGCAGATTGATCAACAAAGCTTTAAGAGACATAAACTTCATCATTAAGAATAAGTCGAAGTGAAAAAATAATTTTACGAAAAAAGGTCACAAAAACTTTTCCAACTTTATTGGCAACAATGTTTAAAAGTGTATTTTCCTGAAACACATTGTATAATAATGATATCGTAGTTTTAGTTAGACCATGTCATTAGATTAAATTTGAGCTGTGCTTTGCCATATTTAACCACAAAGGAAATAATACATGTAAACTAAAAATATAAATGAAATATTTGTTGCAGCTTGAAAGAGTAATAGCGAAAAATGATTAAGATTGTTCTCCGACATCTCGCAACGTACTTTCCTTAATAGCCGCCCCAAAGACCACTTCTACAGGGCAACCCAATGTTTCTAAGGACGCGCCCTCACTTACAACCCTTTCCTTACCGTATTGAAAACAGTTTTTATTTCGTCCTTTTTTGTTGGCTTCCTTGGTACATTTTCCCAGTCAAGTAATTCTGTTGACACTTGCCCTCTTTTCTCCCGAATTAGATTTAGTTCCTTACTTGCCTCCCTTACTGCATTTTCTTTGTTTTGAAATCCGTTACTTGTTTCATTTGGTTTTCGTTGCACCTTCCTTTTTCTTCAATTAAAAGCCACAAGTCCTCATCCCACCTTTATCTTTTCAGCTAACTTGACAAAAATAGTAGCGAAAAAGTGATTAAGAGTGTTCTTCGACATCTGTCAACATTCTTTATTTAGCTGCCTAAAAGTCCCCATCTACGTCCAGTGCATTTCATCTGAGGACGTGTCCTCACGTTCAGCCCTATCTTTATCGTATTGAGAATGTTCTTTATTTCGTTCCTTTTTTGCCTTCCTTGTTTCATTTTCCCAGTCATGTAATTCTTCTGCCGCTTGCCCCTTTTTCTCCTGTATTTGTTTTAGGTCCTCGTTTCCCTCCCTTATTGAATTTTGCAGGTCAACTAATTCAGTTGCTGCCTTGCTTACGTCACTCTTCGAGCCCTCTAATTTACGTGACTCTTCCTCTTGTTTCTCCTGTATTTGTTTCAGTTCCTTGTTTGCCTCCGTTATTGCATTTTGTAGGTCAAATAATTCATTTGCCGCTGCCTTGCTTACGTCACTCTTCCAGCCCTCTAAATTACATGACCTTTCCTCATGTTTCTCCTGTATTTGTTTTAGTTCCTTCTTTGCCTCCCTTATTACTTTTTTCATGTCTGATAATTCACTTGATACCTTGCTTACATCATTTGTCCAGCCCTCTAATTTACGTGACACTTCCTTTTTTGTCTCATGTATTTCATCTAGGTTCTCGTTTCCCTCCCTTATTGAATTTTGCAGGTCAACTAATTCAGTTGCTGCCTTGCTTACGTCACTCTTCGAGCCCTCTAATTTACGTGACTCTTCCTCTTGTTTCTCCTGTATTTGTTTCAGTTCCTTGTTTGCCTCCGTTATTGCATTTTGTAAGTAAAATAATTCATTTGCCGCTGCCTTGCTTACGTCACTCTTCCAGCCCTCTAAATTACATGACCTTTCCTCATGTTTCTCCTGTATTTGTTTTAGTTCCTTCTTTGCCTCCCTTATTGCATTTTGCAGGTCAAATAATTCATTTGCCGCTGCCTTGCTTACGTCACTCTTCCAGCCCTCTAAATTACGTGACTCTTCCTCTTGTTTCTCCTGTATTTGTTTCAGTTCCTTGTTTGCCTCCGTTATTGCATTTTGTAGGTCAAATAATTCATTTGCCGCTTCCTTGCTTACGTCACTCTTCCAGCCCTCTAAATTACATGACCTTTCCTCATGTTTCTCCTGTATTTGTTTTAGTTCCTTCTTTGCCTCCCTTATTGCTTTTTCCAGGTCAAACAATTCTTCACTCTTCGAGCCCTCTGAATTACGTGACTCTTCCTCTTGTTTCTCCTGTATTTGTTTTAGTTCCTTGTTTGCCTCCCTTATTGCTTTTTCCAGGTCAAACAATTCTTTTGATGCCTTGCTTTCGTTACTCTTCCAGCCCTCTAAATTTCGTGACATTTCCTCTATTTCCCCCTGTATTTGATTTAGGTGATCGATTCTCTCCTTTATTGTATCATCCCAGCCACTGATTTCTAGTGACTGTTGCTCACTTTTCTGCTGCATTTGATATTCTGCCTCCCTTACTGCTTTTTCCCTGTCATTTAATTGTTTTGCTGTCTTCCTTAGATCACCCTCTCGGTCCTTTAATTCTTGCTCTTTTTTCTCATGGATTTGCTTTTGTTCCCTTCTTGTCCTCCATGCATTTTTCTCGGTTTGCAATCCTCTACGTGTTTCTCCTAGTTCTTGTTGCGCCTTTTTTATATTTTCGTTGAAAGACTGCAACTCCTCATTTTTTCTCCCCAGATTTTTCTGAATTGCATCAACATCACTTTCAATTTTCTTTCGTTCACATTTTTGTACGCTGATATTTTCTTCGCATGTGGCTAGCTCATCCTCTTTACAACTAAGCTCGTGTCTAAGTGTACTTATAGTTTGATTAAGTATTTGGATGCGACCTCTTGCTTCTTTCTTCAGCGTAGCCTCATACTGGTGCTCCCTTTCCCTCTGAGTTTGATTTCCTGGCAGAGAGCTTGCCGTTTGGACGTCCCCTGGAGAAACTGTGAGAATATGATCATTGCATATGCACTCTAGGAAAACATTCAACAGCTGCTGAAGACAAGATTTATCGGCCTTCCCGCTAACCTCTATTTCTGTAGGGCTTGTCCGTCCTGAACATGAAAAGAATAACGTTGTACAGTAATTGACCTGGAAGTATTGCATTTCAGACTGGTACCTGCAGGGGATATATTATCGATTAATGTGTAATTAGGTGGAAACCGTTAACATATGTAATTTAAACATGGGGTGAAAGCTAATTCATAGAGTCCTATTCCTTGTGATGCAGAGTCAACATAGTCTTAAGAAAAAGGAATTAGGTCAGTCCATTTCACTACACAAACCTTTTAACTCTACCCTTTTCAAATTGGCATACACTTGGATTAAGTGTTAAATACAGATTGTAAATGTGAAATTTTACGTTTTTATATGGTGGCCCTGAAGGGACATCGCGAATAGACTAAATCGTGAAAAATATGCGATAAAATTCACGATATCGTCAATTTTATCGCATATTTTTCACGAAGAAATTCACGAAATTGACGATATCGTGAACTTTATCGTGAACTTTTCACGATGATATTGACGATATCGTGAATTTTATCGTGAAAAGTTCACGATATAAAGTTCACGATATCGTCAATTTTATCGTGTACTCTATCGTGTACTCTATCGTGTACTCTCCTGACGGGCGCTTCGTAAACAAAACCAGCCCTAGCTGGGGGAGACAGAGAGAAGGAAAAAAGGGAAAGGGAAAGAGAAGATAAAAGGAAAGAAAGAATAATAAGAAGAAAAGAGGGAAACGGGGGGGGGGGGCGAAGGGCTCTTGCCTCCTCCTCACTCCCCCCCCCCCCCTCCCCGCCAAAAAATAAATCAGAGAGAGAGAGAGAAGGGAAAGGGGAAGGGAAAGAGAAGATAAAAGGAAAGAAAGAAGAGGAAGAAGAAGAAAAAAGGAAAACGGGGGAAGGGCGAAGGACTCTTGCTCCCCCCTCCCCCCGCCAAAAAATAAATCAGAGAGAGAGAGAGAAGGGAAAGGGAAAGGGAAAGAGAAGATAAAAAGAAAGAAAGAAGAGGAAGAAGAAGAAGAAAAGAGGGAAACGGGGGCAAAGGGCTTTTGCCTCGTCCCCCCGCCCCCCGCCAAAAAATAAATAAGAGAGAGAGAGAGAGAAGGAAAGGGAAAGAGAAGAAAGAAAGAGAAAAACGAAAAAGAGGGAGAATAGGAAAGAAAGGAAAAGAAAGAAAAGAAAGGAGGCAAGAGCCCTTCGCCCCTGTTTCCCTCTTTTCTTATTCTTTTTCCTCTTTCTTTCCTTTTATATTTTCTTTCCCTCTCCCTTCTCTTTCCCTTTATGGCGGGAGGGGGGAGGGGGAGGTAAGAGCCTTTCGCCCTTCCCCCGTTTCCCTCTTTCCGTCTTCTTCTTCTTTCTTTCCTTTAATATTTTCTTTCACTTTCCCTTTCCCTTCTCTCTATCTCTCTCTCTCTCTCCTATTTATTTGTTGGCGCGGGAGGGGGGGGGAGAGGCAAGAGCCCCTCTTTTCTTCTTATTCTTCTTCCTTTCCTTTTTTATTCTCTTTCCCTTTCCCTTCTCTCTCTCTCTCTCTTATTTATTTTTTGGGCGGGGGGATGCAAGAGCCCTTCGCCCCCGTTTCCCTCTTTTCTTCTTCTTCTTCCTCTTCTTTCTTTCCTTTTATCTTCTCTTTCCCTTTCCCTTTCCCTTCTCTCTCTATCTCTTATTTATTTTTTTGGCGGGGGTGGGGAGGGAGGAGGAAAGAGCCCTTCGCCCTTCCCCCGTTTCCCTCTTTCCTTCTTATTCCTCTTCTTCCTTTCCTTTTTTATTCTCTTTCCCTTTCCCTTCTCTCTCTCTCTCTCTTATTTATTTTTTGGGCGGGGGGATGCAAGAGCCCTTCGCCCCCGTTTCCCTCTTTTCTTCTTCTTCTTCCTCTTCTTTCTTTCCTTTTATCTTCTCTTTCCCTTTCCCTTTCCCTTCTCTCTCTATCTCTTATTTATTTTTTTGGCGGGGGTGGGGAGGGAGGAGGAAAGAGCCCTTCGCCCTTCCCCCGTTTCCCTCTTTCCTTCTTATTCCTCTTCTTTCTTTCCTTTTATATTTTCTTTCCCTTTCCCTTCTCTCTCTTATTTATTTTTGGCGGGGGGGGGGGAGGAGGCAAGAGCCCTTCGCCCTTCCCCTGTTTCCCTCTTATTCCGCTTCTTTCTTTCCCTTTCCCTTCTCTCTCTCTCTCTCTCTCTTATTTATTTTTTTGGCGGGGGGTGGGGAGGGAGGAGGCAAGAGCCCTTCTCCCTTCCCCCGTTTCCCTCTTTCCTTCTTATTCCTCTTCTTTCTTTCCTTTTATATTTTCTTTCCCTTTCCCTTCTCTCTCTTATTTATTTTTGGCGGGGGGGGGGGAGGAGGCAAGAGCCCTTCGCCCTTCCCCTGTTTCCCTCTTATTCCTCTTCTTTCTTTCCCTTTCCCTTCTCTCTCTCTCTCTCTCTCTCTTATTTATTTTTTTGGCGGGGGGGGGGGGGGGGGAGGTAAGAGCCTTTCGCCCTTCCCCCGTTTCCCTCTTTCCTTCTTCCTCTTCTTTCTTTCCTTTTATATTTTCTTTCCCTTTCCCTTTCCCTTTCCCTTCTCTCTCTCCTTATTTATTTTTTGGCGGGGGGGGGGGGGGAGTGAGGAGCAGGCAAGAGCCCTTCGCCCCCCCCCCGTTTCCCTCTTTTCTTCTTATTATTCTTTCTTTCCTTTTATCTTCTCTTTCCCTTTCCCTTTTTTCCTTCTCTCTGTCTCCCCCAGCTAGGGCTGGTTTTGTTTACGAAGCGCCCGTCAGGAGAGTACACGATAGAGTACACGATAGAGTATACGATAGAGTACACGATAAAATTGACGATATCGTGAACTTTATATCGTGAACTTTTCACGATAAAATTCACGATATCGTCAATTTCATCGTGAAAAGTTCACGATAAAGTTCACGATATCGTCAATTTCGTGAATTTCTTCGTGAAAAATATGCGATAAAATTGACGATATCGTGAATTTTATCGCATATTTTTCACGATTTAGTCTATTCGCGATGTCCCTTCAGGGCCACCATATTTTTAGCCCCGTCAGTTATTAGAATAGAGATATCCTACCCTGGGAAAGGTCTCTCCAAAAATCTTTTCAAATGGGTGAGGGGATTTATGGGCTTGTTTCACTATTATATGTTTATAACATAATTCAATCATATTTAAAATATGATAATAAACATTGGACAATACTTTCATGCCAAATGGGGGTGTAGTCGCATACACACATTTGTGATGCCTTTTATTCACACTAAAAAAAGGGCTCCTGGGTTACAGTCTAACTTGTCACTCTGTCTGCACTAGAGAACCCAATGATGTCCCTCTCCCTACCATCCTTCCAACTCAATACTCCCTGATGCAGGACATCAACATTCACATTAGCGCATTTGAGAAGATGCTAAAGAAGATTTAGCCATGTGAATTAAAAGGCCCTGACAACATTCCTTCTTTTCTTCTGAAAAAGTCTATTGTAAAGATGTTCTATGTGCTATTCTTGCTCATATATTCGATCATGCAACCCAAAGTGGTCAGCTTCACTACGACTGGAAAAAGGCCAACATCTTCCATGTCTTAAAGGAGGGGGACAAAATCAAGACTGGTAATTACCGGCCAATATTCCTCAACAAGCCTGTAAACTACTGGATCACATAGTCGTACTGGATTAGAAGCTTTCTGTTAATATATAATTCATCTATTTCATTTTCAGTTCTAACAGGGTATTCAAGTCTCTGGTAATAGGTTAGCGCACCATAACCCTTGTATACCAAAGTCAGGACAATTTGAACTGAGTAAGTTTAAACCCCTCATGAATGATTTGACTCTGAAAGTCTCTCCGATTTTCTTTTGACAAACCTATATCAATTAAAAAAGAACAACCCAATTACTTTGATAGGTCGTTTAAAATAGATGAACATCTGTTTCGATGTTTCATATATGGCTTAGGTTTGGAGGTGTTTTTTGTCCATTTAGAGAACAAAAGAAGGAGAAATAATCGGCAACTGCAAGAGACATAAATTGTATTGTAGGGATTTGTTTAAACCAGGGATCGATAAATTACATTTCGAGTGAAATAGGGTATTCAAATAAAAGTTGTTTAATTGAATATTTGGCTCACTATTGGTTACTTGGATTTTCTTTTGTAAATTAGGTACTGCGACATAAGATAAAAATATAATAAAAGTATCTAGGTAACACGATTTCTATGAATATTATCATTAGGGTTTAATCAGGTAGATACGCACCGTTTACAATCTCTTCGAATTCTGTGAAGTCGCCATCGGTGAAATTTGGAGGAACCCCATTCCTGTAAATGATACCACACAAATGGAAATGAACAGGGTGATACAATAATATAATAGTAGAGCCTTGTATAGCGCTCATGTCTGGCACAGTGCCTCCGTCACTACTGGTGCTCCATCGTTATTACTCCTGATTTGCTTTAGCACATTGTTAATTGAATAATCCAAACCCACAATGCTTTGTTTTGTTTTAATAATTATTTTATTCATCATTCTGTTAAAACCCATGGACACTGATTGTAGTCTTGTGGGTAAACATGTTGCCATTAGTATGAAGAAGCCATGGTAGCTGACATCGGAAGGGAAATAATAAACAACAGCACATATTGGGTTGGGTGAAGTATAATAAGCTGGCCTCGATCATAGCTGGTAGAAGGTTTATGATGAGCATAAAAGGCAAGATCCATAAGGCTTGAGTGATTGTATATTGTTAAGAAACTTTGAATGTGAATACAGAAGAAGGTATCATGAGGAAAACTGAAAAACCATGATATGGAAGATGTGTTGTGTAAAACTGTCTCGGTTAGGATGGTTTGGTTTTATTTTCCGTATAAAAACATATATTCATATAAGAACTTAGGAATAATGATAATTACTTAAAAGGAATACAGAAAGATCGTTCTATTCAGAGCCATTGATTCAATGTCTCCGTTCTTCCTAGAAGTGAAAGACAGAACACAGATGAGCAAATGGAAATGATAAAAGTGTAATATACTGTAGTGAACAGAAAGCAGTAATAATAAGGATGCTTGAGACAAGGGGTGGGGGAGGGAGTGTCATGGCGCGATATCCAGTTGGCCCTCGTAAGAGGGGAAATGCGGACTTTACTAAAAACAGGGTGCATGTTGATAGGAAGCAAACGGATGCTTCGCGGACACAGTATATTAAACCTACAAATTCATAATAATCGTATTGACCAGGGCCACCATATAAAACACCTTGATGTTACAGTAGACTCTGAATTAAAGTGGAATGCTCATATTGTAAATGTTTGCCACAAAAATGAATAAGATGTTTAGCTTTCTTGGAAGGCTAAGTTTTTTTTGGAATAATCCAGTCTGAAGATTTTGTACAAAGCATTTACTTTACCACACTTTGATTATGCTGATATAGTACGGTCCTCCGGGAACAAAACACAGTTGAATATGTTAAAGAAATTGCAAAATCGTGCTGGAAGAACAATTTTGGAAATTAGTGTTTTAGACATTCAAAAGTGGAAGACTTTACATAATCACCAAATCAATCACATTTATTTGTTGATGTACAAATTCTGCATGATCAAGTTCCACATTATTTGCAGGAGAAATTTATTTTTAAACAATTAGAATACTGCTTTAGAAATGGAAACAAGGTGAACGTATCTAGGCCAAATACAACGAAATGCAAACGTACTTTTCTATATCGTGGTCGTAAATTTTACAATGACTTACCTCTCAATAATCGAAAATTAGATAACTTTGGATTGTTTGAGAAATAATTAAAATGAATACCTAAAGAATATCGAATACGCTTTTCATTTCATGTTCTTCATTCGCTTTTTTGTAGAATAGTCCTTGTAAAATATTTCAGTCTTTTGTTTCTTTATGTGTTGTGATGTTAGAATTTGATATCTGATGATCGTAAAGAAACCAAACCATGTACTCAACCAAACCATACACATTTACTAATAGAGAATATATCTACTCCGAGAGTTTGTTTCCTCGTGCAAGTATCTTGACATAGTTTTAAACGAAAATTTAAGCTGGATCCTATATTCTAATGAAAATTCGTCCAATTATTATACGACGCCTAGCAGGATTGTTTGATAAACCTATCATATAATGCCATTTAGATGATTGTGATAAGTATATGGAAATGTAGGGGTCACGAACTTACGAAATCCTAAAATGTCTACAATAAAGTGCTTAAACTCGTTTTAAGGAAAGACTCCAGATTTTCTTTTAACCTGTCGTTTCTACTTTTGATTTAAGATACCATTTAAGAAAGATTTAAAAGAAAAATGAATAACGATGCCCCTAATCTTATGTATTATTACACCAAAATCCATTGTACGTTTTTTTTAAAAGCACATCCCCATGTAAAGTACCAGTCCTATTTCACTATGAAATAAATATGTGTCATTCGTCTTCTTGTAACAGATGTTGAGTAACTTTGTATCATGGGAAATATGGAAAACAATAAACTGAAAACTGAGATACTCAATCCATAATTTCTCAGTACCTTAGGGCCTAACAAACTACGAAACGCTATAGCACAGGAGGAAGAAAAACGAATAAAGAATATATATTTTGTAAAATAAAAGACATCATGTTTTCTACGTAGGAGATACACAACGTCGCAGGGGGGGGGTACTTATCATTGGAAGGAGAGCCAAATATATTTTCAAATTATTTACTTTTATTTACTTTTATTTACTATTGTTAATTTTTTTGGGGGTAAGTATAGCAATTTTTACTTTTTTCCTTCTTGTTCAGGTTAATAATGCCTATTATTTTTAAATATTTTTGTTATTGAAGGGATTATTTTTCCATATGTTTTTGTTTTGCTATTTGTGTTTAATACTGGCTTTTGTTTGTACTACAAATAGTATATTTTTATTGAGTTCACGATGAACACCAGCTTAGGCTGAAGCGAGTTACCGTGATTAAATAAATGAAATGAAATGAAAGGTACACGAAATAATGACAGTTTACTTACCTGTAAATGAACACGGCACAGTGTATCAACTCCGATGATGGATTGAAACTGGTAATGGACGTGGCTTCAAGTAGCTCCCAGACATCTAAAAGATACCAAACGATGTGTTTTATATTTTGGCACATTTCAACGCAATTATGTCATGGAAACAACTTTAGAAAGGTAAATTCAACAACTGAATATAAATCATCCGTCAGGGAATGAGCAAGTAGCGTTGCCAGTTTATCCTACCAATATACGTAAGGAGTGGGGCACTAATACAAATGTCATGTGGTACAAATACACTAAAACATGAACTAAAAATAATAACAGGAAATACTTATTCATACATTTACTTTAAAACCCCAAAACAGGCAATAACCGATATTCATTACCATCATCAAAATCACCAAAGTTAGAGAAACTATTGGAATAAACTAAAACATCGAGAATTGGGGAGGGTGACACGCCTTGACCGGGAGATGCGCCAGTTGTTATGCAGGTAGAACACATGACTTTAATAACAAGTCTAGCCTCACAAAATGAATGCCATCTCTTTCACTGTCAATCAAATATACCCCCTCCCTCCTAAAAAACATACTACTACTACTACTACTACTACTACTACTACTACTACTACTACTAATACTTATTCCATTACTTCTACTCCTACTAAAATTACTACTACTACTACTACTACTACTATTACTAACACTACTTCTACTACTACAATAATATAAAAATACAAACAAACAAAAACAACACAGGAGCAAAATTCCGGAATAGCATGGCAAGATCACAAGCGACTAATAATGCTATGGTAATACATTCAACAAATATTAACTTTACCGTTTAAATTGACGTTTATGTCCCTTCACCCTAAAAGGCCTGCCTGGGACAAATTGAAAAAGAGTGGCAACAATCTGGCCAACATTGCTAATCAACATTAGGTAGATAGGCCTACTTTAAAATGTCTTTCTACTGAAACCAAACTTGCAAACAACGGAACTACGTTAACATTACAAGACCGTATCCAATAACCAGCCTCCTATAACATCAGTGACTATTCAACTTTCTATTCTTATAGACACTTTGGTAATGGAGGTGGATTTTCGATGTATATTTCCAATTTGCAATTATATAAATTAAGACGAAATATAACCTTCAAATAAAATTATATTGATTCGAAAGGTGTAGAAATAAGCTTGCATAACATAAATTTTATGAAAATATGTACGATCTATCGGCCTCCTAATTAAAAATTGGACACATTTTAGAATAACTAAGAAGAGCTAATAAGGATGATCAAATCAACAATACTGTTTGTGAAGCAGGGGTGTAAGGATATACTGCTTACCCATCTCAAAGGCCAGGGCGTTTTTAAAGTTGTGATTAGGATTGTACACGGGATACATGTATATGTTTTGGATAAATCTTTACATATTGTAGTTATACTCACCTGCTTTTTGCTGGAAGATTAGAAAATCTGCCTCATCTTTCAAATCTTCTTCGCTTAGGGTCTTCAAAAGGGTCTTTCTTGTCGACCCCTCAGCGCAAATGATGAGTTCAACATGGATTTTGTCTTTACCGTTTTTCACATCGATTCCTGCACATTTCACCTTCTTAGCTTTAATTGTCACTGTTTTTTTGTCGCTGTTATCTTCACTAAGTTTTGTGGTCGTCTTGGAGGGTTTTGCCTGCACTTTAAGAACTTTAGGTCGGTTTGGCAAAAGTCTCATGAAGGACTCCATGGTTTCGGCCACATGTTCATCATTCATAGGATCACCAGCTTCACAGAATAGGACATGGGCGGAACACTTACTTACAGTGGGTTGTTTCTCCTTGAAACGTTTCTCGAGCTCTTTGGATCTCTCCGCCCCAGTGACAATGACTGCAACATGATCACTACCTGTAGAAATGAAAGGAAACAATTTACAACCAGTACACATTGCAAGATTTCAACCACAATATATTACTGATTGAACTGTGCCTAACTTGTAAGAAAAACGTCCCGTTATCCACTAATTTTTGGGTTTAATGTTTGTGAAATCAATCCTTCTTTATTATTGTATAGTTTCGTCCTATTTATCATACACTGTCTGAAAAAGGAGTATACAGCAAATATGTTGAAAACAGAAATTGCGTCCTTTTTATACCTTTTTTTCTACGAATATATATTATCACAAGTGCTTGTAGGCATAGGTAGCGGCGAGATGTTTCTGCGTGAAATCATGTCTGTAAGACAAATCTCGCCTGGCGATATAAGTCTAGTAGACACATCTAGCTGCATCCTACCGGCGAGTCCAAGACCGGGGAGCTGAGACCGTAACTGGTGAAACGTGTCTAATGGTTAATCAATGTTTTTTTTCTTCTCAGAAATGTGTATATAATGTTTTTGGCCATCACCTTTTAATAACAAAAATAATCTTTTTATACTCATCAAATCGTCGAGAATAACATAAGACTTACAATTTGTATCCAGCCCTATGCCCCTCCCCTCCCCCAATGAATTAATAAATTAATAGAGCTGATTGACTTGACAAATTGAGTAAGATTGTCTATTTGTCGAATTCATCTAATTAATGTAAGTGTTAATAATCATATTCCTAATCATGCTCACGACAATAATTATAGCTATTTTTCAAAAATCTTCACATCAAATTGTTTGTCATAACATGGCGATATTTGAATTATTGAATCGTTATGTCTGTAATGTAAATGTGAATTTTAATATATTCCTAATCATCCTAACGGCACTTTTTCGCCGGACACAGCCATCAAAATATTTACTAATGCATGTATATTCAAAATATGGTGGTACGTCCAGATACATCGATCAGCGCTATATATATATATATATATATATATACAGTGCGTCCCAGAAAAAGCGAAATCGAGAATCATCGATGTTTTATCATAACTTAATTACAATTATAATTAATAAACTAGACTTTAATTCGTCACTTTGACGAATTAGGTGATACGTAATTATGCTCATGTGTAACATAATGAAGAACGAATTTTCACGATTTCATCTTTCGTTATAAAATACTTCTCCCATTTATGGTCTATCCATAAGTCAAGTTTCAACTGTGTAGGGCAGAGGGAGACAGAGCAATAGAATAAGAGGGAGGCAAGGCAAGAGAGAGAGAGAGAGAGAGAGACAGAGGGTGAAAAAGTAGAGAGAGAGAGAGAGAGAGAGAGAGGGGAGAGGGTGAAAGAGTAGAGAGAGAGATATAGATAGATGCAGAGACAGACCAAAAAAAAAGGAGAGGGGCAAAACATGAAACCAAGTAACACATCAATCCATTGCATATTAAGAAACTGAAACATCTTGAAATTGTTTTCCACCTCATTCCATAATGTGGACCCTTCAGAACATTCAAAGAAGATAAGACGATAGGTTTCTACCTCTTTTCTACAAAAGGAAGATACATTTGACTGTGTTAATCCAAAAAGTACAGTTTATCATTACAAAATATGATGTTATGTAAAAGTTTATACTGAAATTCCCTGGTGACCATGATTAAGAGTGGTATAGCGCCCCCTTCAGGTATTTGATAGAGATTTGTAGAATCAGGATTTCAGAAAAAGTCGCCTAACACGCAAACTAAGAAAATTGTGACATGTCATATTTAATTGATTTTTTTCACTATGATAATGTCATCAATATGATAAATGATGTACATCATTCTTGTAGATAATTTTCTCAGCTACACCGTATCAAAATTAAGGAGAACATAGAGCACAAATAAGCTAGATAGTGCTCAAAGATCAATGTCATGTAGATTCATGATGTAAACGAAATTCACCTTACATAGGCATAACACGCAAATTGAGAAAATTCTGACATGTAGCCTTTAATTGAATTTTGTACTTTGATGACATCAATGAAATAAAAAGCAGTGTGTATTTATCTTGTAGGCAATTGCGTCAGCTACAAGATACCGCAATTTGGAAGAAAATTAGTCAATATTATGAGAAATACACTAGATTGTCCATAAATATAATGACGTCATAATATGCAATTTTGTATTTTGACTTCAAAGGCCATTATGATGACGTCAAGATGCATTTAATGGCCAAATGAGATATGAAATCATATTTCCGACTCATACTCTATCTAAATATGAAAAAAAAACTTGGCAGTCCTTATTCATCCCAATGGACTTTTTATAGGCATGTTTTTGCCCATATATGCTATGTAATACATGAGCTCGCGCGCACGGATATTTATCTTGAACGGACGCTCATTCCGTTATTAATAGTGATAAAGAGATGAACATGGTATCAAAATGCTTGGAAAAATGTGTCAAACATGATGACAGAGAAAATTCGGCGATTATATGTTGCAAAATGCCAGAACGCGCAAAAAACACGCGCGCATGTGCGTTTGAGTGAATTTTTGTCAAATGCTCCATATGGCTTGCAACGTATGCAAACAACATTTGGGATGATTTAAAGCATTTCAAATTTTTGCGCGCACGTAAACGCGCGGACGAGCGTGTACGCCTGCAATTGCGCACGTTTTTTGACCTGACATTGACCGGACGGATATTGATCTTATTCATAATAAATATGAATGAAAAATTACTTTCCGTTATGAAGATATGATCATAAGTTGATTTTCACAAAATGGGGCCTGGATGACGTCACGATAATTTTGAGTCTTTGAACGATCACACAGTTATAAATTAAACTAAGATCTATCATCATTGAAAGTTTCATGACAATGGCTTTATTCAGTCTTGAGATACCCTGCGAACAAATTTGAGGAAGAATAATAAAAATAAAAACTAGACTTTAATTCGTCACTTTAAAGATTTAGGTGATACGTAAGCTATTTTTGTATCATGAACGTGTGCCAATGATGATCTAATGATAATATTCATAAATACGATAATGACGATATTGATGATGATGATTTGTTTGTTTTAAATGACGATGACAATGATTAAAAGTGGTAAAGCGCCCCCTTCAGGTATTCGATAGACAATTGTTATATGATTAAACTATCAATTTACTAAACAAGCTCAAATTTTCGCCTGATTGCAGAGCCTACCAATCATTGAACCGATATTTCGACGCACTACATACGCAACATAATGAACAAGTCTAGACTGGAATGTAGTATCAATCTCCTCCCATAGGCATAAGACG